GTTAAAATTGGGTCAAGGCTTTGCAGGGTCGGGTCCTTTCTGCATGTTTTGATCAGTTTGCATTCGGGCGTTTCTTGACCTCAAGGAATGTTGAGCTGTTGGACTCTAATCGAAGGCTCTCTTGAAGGAGCTTGCCACCTGTTGTGCCTTGTTGTGCTTTTGTCGGTACGACAAGTGCTTAGGGCTGCAGACAAGCCTCCACTTGCGGAGAAAACACCCTTCTCTGGGATGGGTTCTTGGTGGTGAGATGTTGAGACCCCTGTTGAAATCTGACACGAGGCTGAAGGAGTCTCACAAGTCTGTCGAGGATCCAGTGAAGGGCTACTGTTCGTCTCGGGCAGCTGTGCGGCTGTGCGGCCCAAATCCTGAGGAGATTAACCCAATTCATGAGTTACCAGTGGCCTTGTAGGCCTTTGAGGATACCCAAGGTAAGGAAAACCACTCTGTTTACTCCATTCTAAAGAACCGAGGCTCAATCGTCTAGATGTCAGGTTTCGATGTCTACATTTCAGATCATTTCAGTGAAACAACTGACCAGACCGCCCTTTTGAACAAAAGCAACATCTCTCCTTCAGCATGGCAACCATGGCATGGCAGACACCGAGGAATGATTCCTGGAGTGTCCGACATACCTGGAAGCTTTTGGACATCCAGGCCCGCCCCGACTGCCGTGTGGAACGGGTCAGTCTTCGGAAGAACGAAGCAGAGCCTGCCTCGTCTCGCCTTGTCTCGCCTCACCAGTCGAGGCACCAGCTCTTTGCGTGTCCGAAAATTGTGGCTTCGACCTCCGTAACCATTTATTGGATTCAAATCCAAGTTTGGCGTTGAGCACCTCCCTGAGAAGGAATCCAGTATTCCTTTTTTTCTGTTGACCTTTGAATTCTGGTCACCAGCTCGTTGGACAGTACACTTTGGGATCGAAATGTCGGACACCCAAACAGATTGCCGGTGATGATTCGTTCGTCTCTCCCCGCCCTAAGCAGCTTGCATATTCTTCGTTCGTCTCCACAAGGGGGGCGCACAGGGCGAAGAAGCCCATCGTTCAACGGCCGTCCATCGGTCCGCTCGTCCCAACAGTTGGGTCGAAATGGTGGTCCACACAAGCTCGTGGGGCTCGTCGTTGATCGTTGGTCGTTGTTGGGTTGAAAGCAAATGCTCAAATGGTGTATTCCAAAAGGGAGGACCTTTTGGCCCAATGGGGTCGCCTAGTCGGTGTTCGACTGTCCAGATCAACGTCTCCAAAGAAATGCCCGAGTAGGAAGAGGGGAATCATCTGACCCATCCGCATTCCAACGATTTGCGACCAACACAGTGCAGGACCGCTGACCCATTTTCTGCTTGGAACGAATGGGTGGGCCACTACCCCCCCTCATCACCGCAGCTCGAAGCCTGAATTTTGTGGCTTCTTCCCCCCCAACTCCAGTGGAAGCGAGCTCAGCTGCAGCTTCGCAGCTGCATGTCTGGTCTTGGCGGCTTTTTTGGGGCCGAGTTTCCACATGGCATGGCGGCATGGCTTTTTACGTAGCTCCCTGAGGTGCCAGGGGATTGCAGGTTAAAGTAGCTCTGGCAACCCTTCTTGCATATCGCTGCATGCAAACCTGAGGTCTTAGGATGGACATCCCCTTCAGATGTGTTCTAGATTCTAGATTTGTTCAGAGATCACTTGGTTCTCGAACTTGTAGGAACGTGTAGAAACTTGTCTTTTTTTTTCTCAAAGGGTCCTTCCAAAGTTGTTTTCGTTGGAGTTTCCAAACAGCTCAAAATCTTTCCGAGGAACACCTCTCTGCTCTGCTTTTTTTTGAGGCGCTCATGGACTCTCCGGTGAAGTGGACGCCTATGGACTCCGGCGGTGTCGGTGTTGTGGAAGAAGCCATGCCGAGAAGCACCAGAAAGATAGGATTTGGGGTACATTTCAGCTGGTTTTCCCGTGCTATTCCCGGTCAGACATGGCTTTTTGCTGGTGTCAAGCCCCAACTGTGCTAGAGGTTGGCCGCTATTTTTCTTTTGGTCTTTAACACCAGGCCAGATTCAGATGCTACGTTGGGGATCAGGATTTTCTACCGTGTGAATGCTGTCCTTTCTAGCAACTACGGGTTTGACTATGACTGGGTGGCTGAGGCAGTGGGTAGATCGCACAGAGTTTTTTATGCACAGCTTTTATTGATGGCTGCGGCATCTACACTGCAGGTGTTGTGTGGTTCTTTGATGCAGAACGGCCAACGACTGGTAGTCCAACTACTACCTCCCTACCTCCCGAGTTCACCTCCCAACCTACTGCTACCGCGAATAGATTCCACTTATGCGACTATTGCTTTATATAGTTTCATTTGTGTAACACTCTCTTTATATAACTGCTTTGTGGGGATAGCTAATTGTAGATCAAAGGGAACAACTTACATGTTCTGGTAACACCAATCAATCGCCACCTATTTCGGTCGGGGACTTTTGTGTCGAAACTGAGGGATATAGCTCCTACCAGCTTGAAGCAATGGATTCCCACACCAGACTGGCATACTCGATTTGTTCTTCCTGATTTATGTTTTCCGTCACAGTTGCATTTGACAAGCGTATGCTTCAGCCAAAGCTGCTCTGACAAACATCATGCAGCCCCCAAACAAGCTGACACACCATGATGGAGTAAAGTAAAGGAATTCATCAGTCAGCAGGTGGATAGCAAAGACACAGAGAGGGGATCAATCATTTTGTCCAAGATAGCATTGCATTATGCCAGCAAGCATCTAGGCTCAGATGTGCATTCAGCTGATTGCCATCTTGACCACACGCGGACCTCCAAGAAGGGACATAGTTCCCAGTGTCTCATCTTCAGCGTCCATCTGATTTCTGGTTTTCCTGCGTTTCCTGCGGTATGGTGAGACAAACTAACTCCTTCCAGAGAGTATGCCCTCATCTTCATAACACCAGAAGGTCGGGGCGCCATCGCTAGTAGGTTGGAGGCCATCGCTCTTAGGTTGGAGGCCTTCGCTAGTAGGTTGGGGCGCCATGTTGCTTGCTCCCACCAGCAGTCGCCCCAGCAGTGGCCCTAGCGGTCGCCCCGGTCGCGACTTGATGCCTGAGACGCTTCCCCTCGGCCACAGCGGGGCCCGAGGCGGGACCAGGGCGTTGGGAAGGGTGGAACGTGTCTGGCGCGGATTCGAGGTTTGGAAGGCTACACATGCAGATGTGTCGGATTTGTGTGAGGGAGTAGAGACATGAACCAATATGGATGTCATTTGGCTTGATTTCACTATGCAGCTGCAATACTTTGTGCAGCGCGCCATTGTGGTTTGGGGTGTTTCAAACGTGGTGCTTTTGAGCAAATTGATGCCCAAGTCTTTGGGGTTGTGTCTTCAGGTTTAGTGGACTCTGCATCCTGCCTTGACTCCATGGGTCTTGGCTGCTTGGCCCTCATACTTCCTTGCCACCTGCGGAGCACACGCAGATTGCGCAGCAGACACCCGTGGCGCACACCACGCGGGGCTGCCGGTTCAGCTGCCTCTGCCTTGCGGCGACAGGTGCCGAATGTGCTGACGGCCATGAGGGTCCTGCTGGCGGCGTGCTTGAAGTTGGAATGCTGGTGTGTTCTCTTTTCAGTAATTATCGCCACTTGTTTTCGGATTTGAAGCATAGTTTGTATCTTGGGAGATTCTTGGGGAAGAGAACAACTCTAAGGGATATGCTGGTGACGTAGGTGAATGTGACCAGTTCATGGAGGTGATAAAATCATAGATTAGATACAGTAGCATGAGCGGCATTAGCGGCACAAACAGAAAACTAGATGAAGAGCTCGTGGCCATGCGCTGCAAAGGCTGAGAACATGGAGCAACAAATGGCAATCGCTCCAGTGCTCCAAGGACTATTGACACAGAACATCCCTAGAATTTGAACAGTGAGGGGTGTCCTTCCAATTTTGTGAAGTGGGGTCTTGTTTTGTGACCAGGGTGGAAGGGTCCCTTTCAAAAAAGTGGAGGTGTTTGACTCTTGTATGATACAATCATAAGGTGTACAGTGAACTATCTAGATCTGAGTACTTGTACACCTTGCAAGTTCCACCTTGCTGGTCTGATACTAGTTACTAGATTGTTAAATTGTGAAGTTGCAAGGCGAACCCGATCCAAGTCATAGGTACAATTCGATCCTGCACCTAGCATGGGAACCTGCACCGAGCATGTACCACCTTCAAGAGCTTGTCCTGCAGTGGATGGTCTTCGCCGAGGTTTTTCTTATTTCTTCACGGTGTGTGCCAGATAAACCAGCGATCGGTAAAAGATTATCACAATTTATGAGAAAGGTCTGCAACCTAAGCATCATCATCGACGGTTCCTGGTATTGGGATATACCCTACTTATTCATAGTTTCTGTGGAAAAGCTGACTTTGGATTGGATTGTCAGCGGATGTGGTGACCAAAACTAGCGGTAAGCCGCTAGCATCATATTCCACCATGCTGATTTGGGTGTTGCCAAACCAACTGCACGCCTGGATTCTCCGTTGTTATCCGGGTGGCTGGTCGTTGGACAGATTTTTAACTCGAGCATACTTAAGCAACGGGCCCAATTAGATGAACCAAGCCTCGTTGCAAGCAATAACAGGATAACATTGAACAGCAATCAGACAACTTCTTGAGGCAAGCAGCAAAGCACAACAAAAAGCCGGACAGAAAAACACAATTACTACTAGGAGCAAGAAGCTACTAGGGGCTCCTGGCCTTACTACTAGGAACAAGGACGCAACGAACGGGGCTCCTGGCATCGCTACTAGGAGCACATCGCAGGCAAGCAATGTTTGGAAAGCTTTTTTTTCGCTAAGACGTTTCACTCCGAACCCAGCAGAGGGAAATCGTTCCTTCGACCTACTCGTAAGGTTTTTCTTTTTTTTCGTTCCCCAGAGAATCAGTTTGTAAGACTTCCAAAAACAAGACCTGCTCAAAGCCACTTGAACCCACACACAAGCCACAGATGGCTTCCTTCAGATGGCTTCTTTCAAGACCTGCATTTGATCCATCATGATCCGTGATGATTTTCTTGCACCCCGGATCAGCACCCAGGTGGTGCCCATTGTGGCTCTCTTCTGCTGGGGCGATCGTCGACTCTGCACGGTGCTCTTTGCGCTGAGTTCCTTGACCGACTTCTTAGATGGATACCTGGCAAGGCGCTGGGAGGCTCGCAGGCTGTCGGGAGAGGGAGGGGCCCGAGCATGTCTTGCATCGAAAAGCTCATTCTTGGCTGCGAAGTTCTCCTTTTCAGAAAAGAAAAAAGACACTCGTTCAAGATGTTGAAGAGGGATCAATACACCTGGCATTCAAAAGATATGATTTTACTCCATCTCTGGTGCATTTGCCACTCAAACTCCCAGTCGCAGTCGGCCAGCTGGGTTCCCAGCTGGCCGCTTGGCATCGGAACGATGCATCGGACGATGCAGGTGACGTCGCCCTTTGGGAAGTTTTTGGACCCGGTGGCGGACAAGCTCTTAGCCTGCTCTGCCACACGGTTGGAAGAAGACACCGGTTTCTGGTGGGTGAACCGTCCGGGGAGGCCTCCCTATCTCATTACACACCCATGTGGAAGATGTAGGGTCGCTTTGGGTGGAGGGATACTGTAGCTGGTCACAAGGGTTCATCTTCTTTTCGCTAAGAGTGATTTTGGGTGCCATCCACATGTGATTGGGTCATTTGTTTGATTGGGATGGGTGCCCTTGAGGGGCGGGTCATTTCAGAAATGAGTATATAGGTAGCTGTACGCAATGACATATCACTTGTTGTGTACATAGTATATATATATATACAGATCGTCTATCTCTCTAAATGTTCATAGACACAGGAGGCGAGTCTTTTTCCTTCCAGTTTCAAGTGCGATGAGTTCTTGGACCGGCCATTCCGTTCGACAAGACTTTCCAATTGACCCAGGGACCACGCATGTGGGACCAAGTTTTGCCATCGCCCAAGATTTAGATCAACACCGCCTCAGGTCTTGGTCTTGCTGCCCACCGCGTCCGGATCGGCCTTCGCGCCGGGTCTGCTGGCAGTGCCGGCGGTGCTGATCATCCTCCGAGAGATCTTTGTGAGCGCGCTGCGGGAATGGACGGCCATGGCAGGTGGAGCGAGCATCAGATTGAAACACTGAACGTTTGTTTATAGACAAAAAAAAGAAGAATCTAAAGCAGCTCTGCAGAACTTTAAGATTACGCCAGCAAAGATCCCAGATAGCACAAGATGTTTGTGGGCAGCATGAGACAAGCACCCACACGCTCCGAATCGTGCACTGCCATAGCGGCACCCTGCAGCGGCCTGAAGCAACACCAACACGCAGGCTCCAAAGCTCAAACTGCCATAGACATTTGGCAGCAACCGGCAGCGGCACCTTGCATCAGTACCAGCACCCAGCACACTGCCAAGCAACACCCTGCAGCGACACCCACAGCGGCACCCTGCAATGGCACCCTGCAATGGCACCAGCACCCAAGCTCCAAAGCGCGCACCGCAGAGAGATTTTGGCCGGCGTGCACCAGAGAGGTGGACCATGCATGTGCATGCCATCTGTTGGCAGAGTTTGATGTGGAGGCAATGTCTGGGCACACGCTTCGCAGATCAGAAGTCAAGCGCTGGGTGAAGTGTGGAGTTCCGACAGAGTTGATCATGTACCTGCTCTTCAGCCACTCTGGGCTGCATGGAAGATGCTGGGGCACACTCACCAGCATTCCACCACTGGCTCACCACTTTCGATAACCTGCAGTCTCAAATGACGGCCTTGGGAGACCTAGGGATGGCGTGACAGAGAAATTTGAGAAGGAGGATGAGGAACTGGGAGGCCACCAGTGGTGGTCACCCTAGGCACGATGAAGGCTTATGCCACCTCGGACCAGATGATGTGGGCCATGGCGCACGGACGGCCGTGCGTGCAAGCTTGCCATTTTGTCAAGAATGTGGCAACGCGTGATGATTTGCCACTAGATTCCATGCTGCGCAGTAGATGCTTGCTTCAACTCTCATACTGTGCAGCGGCGTGAGGAGTTTGGAACAGGATCTGGCCGAATCGGTGCAACAGACAGGGCCCGAAGATATGCGTTGTAGTGTGAGGATGAGCCAGTTTGTGAAACATACTTGGGCCAAGATCTCGAGCACGGCAAATTTCGTGCCAATGTCAAGTTCACGACACAGTTGAATGTGGACCTCAACGCGTTCCACCATTGGAAAACCAGGGGGGCCTCAGGTCGCGCGTTTCACGGTTGAGGGTCCATGTTTCTGGTGTTTGCATATCATGCAACTTGGTTTGGATTGTTGGAGGTGGGTGTTGAGATTTTTGCTCCGATGCGGACCTCATCACACAGAGACTTCGAGGTACCAGATCTCAATTGGTCCAGAGAGAAATTTGATGTCTTTTTTCTTAGTTCGAGAGTGGCTGGCTCAGAGTGGCTGTCTCCTGTGTTCGAAGTGGAGAGGAGAGTTCTCCTGGGCTGCGCGACAGACGCACATACGCGCACGCACACACACACACACACTTAGACTCAGACTCAAAGTTCCGGTGATGAATGTTCATTTTCAGTGTGTCTCAGTGGTGAACACTTAGCGCTTGACTCGCAAAACTACAAGGTGATCAGTCAGTTCAAAAGAATTGTTGAACAATCGCAAACGTCAGCAAAATTAGGAAAATTAGTGCGGCAACTCGCAACGATGTTTGTGAACAAAACCTGACAGACCTGGAAACAGCCTGCAGAAGGGTGGACCAGTGGAGTCAGTGTGTTGTCGAGCAGGTACGTCAGAGTGGCCAACTCTGATGTTATGAGATCAAAAGGGCGTCTTCGTTGGTGGCGGTCACAAATGATCTGCCGCTACCTCCTGCTGAACGAAAAGCCGGCATACAACCAAAGTATGCCTTGGAACGGGGGGGTGACACACTCTGACATTGGTTTGCTGTTAACTCAATTCCCACGTGGAAAGTAGGTGAGGGAACGGCAAGGTGAAAAGTCCCAAAAGTTGTAGATGTTTTAACAAGTGGTTTATGCGCATCTGCAGAACTCACGACGGCAGCTGCAGCTCAAAGCGGCTCAGTGGCTGAAAGCGGCGGAGGGAAATGTTTTGGGGTCTATTGTGAGAACCACCATGAAACAAAGCGAGGAAGAGTGGAGCGACTGCTTGAAAAACAGTTCAGCAGGTACACGGAGGTGATCAATCTCCGCATCCCGCATCGTGGAACAGCTTCGTTGGCACAGGAATCCACGATGGGCCTGTGCCCCCCCGCATTAGTGGAACGAAGACCCTTAGGAACAGGGGTTGACACACACAGGTAGCCGAAGTCGGCGCAGGCACATGAAAAGGTGGCGTCATCTGCTTTTTTCTCAAAAAAACGCCGGCATGCTGTTGGATCATGTCCTTATGTGAAATGTCGTGTCCTGTACATCGTGGAAGTCGAAGAGTCTGACACATCCTTGAAATCGAAAGTGCAGCTGCAACAAATTCGAAACAACAAGCTCTTGCATGCATGTCGCTATCAAATCCGAAGACACAGAAATTCCGTAAGATGCCCCGCGGCTTTGAATTCTGTTAATTCAGTAGTGACACGGAAGCAGTGAAAGTGATCCAGGATGAAAGGACGATAAATCAGGAAAACGATTTCCGGTATGAAAGCAGCGCCTCCTTGCGGAGGATCACACCCAGCACCCAAGTGGGACGGCTGAGCGGTTCACACTCTGACATTGGTTTGCTGTTAACCCAATTCCCACGTGGAAAGAAGGTGAGGGAACGGCAAGGTTGTAGATGTTTTAACAAGGGGTTTATGCGCATCTGCAGAACTCACGACGGCAGCTCACAGCGGCTCAGTGGCTGAAAGCGGCGGAGGGAAATGTTTTGGGGTCGATCGCGAGAACCACCATGAAACAAAGCGAGGAAGAGTAGAGTGACTGCTTGAAAAAACAGTTCAGCAGGTACACGGAGGTGATCAATCTCCGCATCCCCCATCGTGGAACAGCTTCGTTGGCACAGGTATCCACGATGGGCCTGTGCCCCCCTGCATTAGTGGAAACAGGGGTTGACACACACACAGACACACACACACACAGCCGCAGAGCGGCGCACTCTTGCCCTAAAGAGGAAACGAAGCAGTAGACAGCGTTGGTATTACTTGGGTTCTAGGAAATACCCCGAAACCGATTTCAGCGGAAACAACGCAGTAGACAGCATTGGCATTACCTAGGTTCTAGAAGAAAGACGACTTAGCCCTTGACTTGCAGAAACGAATGACTACTTAGCCCTTGACTAAAAGGCCTGATGACGCACCTAAAAAGCCTCTAGAAAAGAGTCAAACCTAGGAAAAAAAAACAAAAAGGGAGGAGAGAAAGGAACGAAGCCGAGGGGTAGGGTCGGCAAACGAGCCTCAAGAGCAACCTAACAAGCCTGAAAGAACACCTAACAAACGAAGAAAAACGCAAGAGAGAAAAACGAGGGGGGGGGTGGAAAAACCGTGTGAAACGAGGTTATTCCAGCAAGAAGTCTCCATGTGCTCGGCAGCATTGTGTACAGTTGATTCATGAATGTCAGGCCAGCAGAAAGTGGCAAACCGGTGAAAATCGAAAATTCAGAAAAGCGTCTCTCAAGCTGGTTTCGGCACCCCTTGCGGGGATCACACCGAGTGGGAAGATGCAGCAAGTCACACTTAGACTCAAAGTTCCGGTGAGGGAACATCATTTTCAGTGTGCCTCAGTGGTGAACTCTTTACGTTTGACTCGCAAAACCACAGGGTGATCAGTCAGCTCAAAAGAATTGTTGAACAATCGCAAACGTCAGCAAAATTAGTAAAATTAGTGCGGCAACTCGCAACAATGTTTGTGAACAAAACCTGACAGACCTGGAAACAGCCTGCAGAAGGGTGGACCAGTGGAGTCAGTGTGTTGTCGAGCAGGTACGTCAGAGTGGCCAACTCTGATGTCACCAGATCAAAAGGGCGTCTTCGTTGGTGGCGGTCACAAATGATCTGCCGCTACCTCCTGCTGAATACGAAAAGCTGGCATACAACCAAAGTACCCCTTGGAACGCGGTGTGACACACACACACAGTCAAACAAAAAGGTTCAAGGACATTCAAGACATCTTGAAGTACGAGCTGGGTTCTCCTTCTGATCAGCCTTTCGTTTAAACAAGGAGCGCTGTGGCATGTCCAATTAGCAACAGACTTCGAAGGCCGACGTTTACGTGTGGTTATCGAGTATTTAGTCGACCATGTGAACATCGGTCCAGCTATGCAAACCCTGTTTGGGCGGCAGAGATATTTTCTACCAAGTTCACAAGTAGTGGCAAACCAACAAATGCAAAACATCATGTTTTTGAGAAAGGACAGTTGCAACTGAGTAATTGACTGGGGCTAAATTGACTGGTTTGACAGCCAACCTGTTGAGCGCAGGCCATAGCACTTCAACTCAAGTGGGTTTTCTTGGATGCTTGGAGCTGTCGAGTCATTGAACGTTCATCGAAGCATCAGCAGGTCATGAAGTCTGTGTCATATCAAACACTCCAGTATTCAAACGACAGGTCAGTTGCTATCCTTGACATTCGGTTCATTCCCAGCTTCAAAAATATATCTTTTGTTCAAGACCATCTAAAGATATCATGAACTCTCTTCTCCCCCCGTTTTGAGCTTTCATGAAGTGGATGATGAGCCAGTCTCAAACAGATCCTGGGATCGCCAACTAATGGATTCCAGATCGCAACCAGGGTAGATCGTTTTATGGCCAGGCATGCTATCGGCTCCGGTCGACGGCACATGTAGATTGGCACCCAAGTGATTGCCTCAAGCTACAAGTGTGGTTTGTGTCAGATCTGTACACAGGGGCACAACTAGCATTCATGGCATATCACAGGAAGTATACATAGCCTTTGATCACCTCTGCACCGTATGGGTGTGGACGTGATTGACCCTTACCCCAGACATGTCGGTCTACACTTACTGACTTGACTAGCACCCTGTTTTGAAGCCACAAGCTCTTGGGCCAGAAGTCTGTCGACTTTGTGTCCTCAGGAAAGCTGAAGACTGCTGTGATCCTCGTGAGTTTGTGTGGCCTTTTAGCCACCTGCTTCTGAGCTGCATGTGCTTGAGAACTGCCTCGGCTGGGCGGAACTGCACGGCTTTCCCAAACATTTTTTTTGTAGGAAAAGACCAATGATGCCTTGGCAAGGGTGCTCATTTCCCCAAAGTTTCGGATGTGTCCGAGCAAGTTGGCAAACTACGTCTTGCCTTTGTGGCTTGATATCATCAAAAGTAGGAGAGGGTATATAGTCCTTCGGGGTGCTTCCACTGGTGAATCAGATGTTTCGTTTGAATTTTGCTTCTACAATTGGGTGTTTTTCTTTGGGCCGCTCATCATGCTGAGAAGTTCTGAGCTTGTTCTCCGGCAGATGTAAGCTAACGTCTCATTCTCCGCACGATGTTCTGCAGTGAAGCTGCAGTTCTGCACACAAATCTCCCAGAGTAGCCAATTCAAAACCTTCCCCGAACAGTCTTTAAGGGTGACCAATTATGTAAGTCACAGGTTCATCATGTTGGGTCCCTAGCCACCAAGACAAGGCCCCACTTAAACTGTTGAGAAAAGAACGGTTAGCATAAAAAGCAAAACTATTCCCAACACTTTTGGCGCAGAGATGAGGTCTTCACACGAGCTTTATGGGTATATAAGAAGAGTATATAGGGGAAGCTACAACACACCTTATGAACTCTGAGTTTTGGCTTCCCAGGCTTTGTTCTGCTTGCATGGCTCATGTGGTTCAGAAATAGCTGTAGCACTGTAGCCTGAAACTTTGCTCCAATTCTTCGCGGTGAAGGTGGTGAAGGGAGATTTGGCTCATCTACAATTCAGTCCTCCAAGAAGCTACTAGGAACAAGTGCCACGCTAGTAGTAACAGGTGCCTTACTAGTAGTAACAAGAAGCTACTAGGAACAAGTGCCACGCAGGTGCCAAGTTCCAAAAGGATCCGTCCCATATTTTCGGTCAAGTTCTGGGCTCTTACAGGGCTCTTACAGGATTCAACCACGGTTGGTTGACACACTCGAAGATGCATCTTCTGCCCCCGCAGGGGGGAGAACATCCAGTTGTTCATATGCATTCCTTCCTTCCCTGGTTTTGCTTAAGGTGATTTTGATTCCCTATGGGGTGAATCCCCTTCTGGTGACTATTTTGTATTTTTTTCCCGGCTTCCTGGACAGCAAATCCAAGCTTGTAATGTATCGTTCCAAGGCGATCAGGGTCTCTCTTCTTCGATCTTCCGAGTGGCTGTGCTGCTGCTTTACCTGGGCACCCTCTTGGACGCCCGGAAGAGCCGGTTAACCACGGTGATCGGGCGTATGGATTGGGGGAGAACCGGATTGCGAGGTTGACTTGCTGTTGGGTCGAGGACTCGGCAGGTACTATGTTGTTAGATAACTGGTGGAGTAGCGTAATGTCAACAACGGATTCATCAACACTGAGGCCTGTGTGAGGGGTACCCTTTGTGAGTTTGAACACTTCAAGATGTTGATAGAGTTTTAAGAAGGGAAAACGACATAATTTTGCTAGAGAGGTGTTTAGGGATTGTGGAGCAAAGATTACTTGGAAGAACATTGGCAGCTAAGATTGCAGCTTCTGGGGGCAGATAGGCTTGATTAGTAGGGGGGTGCTTACTCAATCCTGTGTGCGCATTATGTTTTACTGTATCTGCGATGATGGGCGAATTGGACATGAATCACACGTCTTCTCACACCGTGGTGGAACCCGCTTCAGAGATGCAGCCACGACATGCTCAGCGAGGCCTATGTCTCGAGTGCCGACTATGTGCGGAAGTCGCTGCCTTCCTTCCAGTGACACCGGCTATGGGCCGCACTTGAGGCGGAATGGCAGATGGAACGGTCGATGGTCTCACCATTTCGAGCACCAAGGTGGAAGTGTCTTGTCTCGCAAAGGAGTTGATGGGTGTACTCATGAACATCTCCATGTCTTGTTGAGCTTCAGAACACTAGACTATAACTGCTATTTATCACTGCCCTTGAGAGCTTAGGGTTTAGGGTTTACTAATCTTGAATCATGTCTACCTCATGCCGACCATCCAAATCGATCTGCCAGCGCGATCGACCAAGCCACTGGGTCAGCAGAAAAGAGGCCGTCCCGGGGGCGACAAAAAGGTGCCAAGTCTTGGGTTTGTGTGTCTTTGGTCTATCAGAAGTTATGTTGGGAAGTTTGTTTGCATCTTTGAAGATGCTCCAGGCTGTATGTTGTTGATTAATTATTGCTGTTTGCGGAGTCTTGTACGAATTTGTGCCAAAATCCACTATCTTGCCTTTTCCGACTCCCGAAAAGGGACACGAAACAAACACCGGGATTATGGCTCGTTTTCGCTTGCTTCTGAATTCGTCTGGCTTGAACCCGGACATTCCTGGAGAGCCCAGAGAGCCCAGAAGCGTCGTTAGAAGGCTTGGAGGCTCAGGCGGAGGCGTCGAGGAAGGCTGATGTGTCGGGGATGAAGCATCAATGAACCAAGAGATCCACTCACGAAGTGGCCAGGGTGATTCATGCTCCAGCACTACACTTGTAGTTGTAGTGACAGAAGGAACATGTAAAGAATTTGGAGTTCTTCAATCTCAGCAACTATTGCGGTGGAGGAGCTGCTAGCTGCTAGCACAAACATCGACCACCAAGGAGAGGCTCCATCACCCGGTCTGTTGTCATGGGCAGCAGATGACCCATCCCCACATAGCATGAGACATACGGGCACAGGTGCCATTCGCAAAGAACCAGCGGGATGCAAGTCACTGATCAGTTCCCACCAAGTCATCCCACTTTTGAGGGACTGAATGAACAACTGCTTGTGTCTCCATCAGTGATCCAACTGTGGAGATCCCCACCAGTGACCGAACCAGAGGGGATCTCCACAAGCTGACCGAAGCAACCAGGAAGTTCTGCTTTTATCAAGGGAACGGTCAACGGAAGAACCCCTTCCTTTGGACATCGGTCATTCGCCCGTCCGCAGGACTATCCTTGCGTCCGGCAGCAGTTGGGGAGTGCCTGTGGTTACTGAGCGCACGAGAGCCGGGTTCTGGATGGATTCCAGCTTCGATCAGCCTAGTGTTGACAGGCTTATTTTGGGTGGACTGCTCTCATCAAGTATGTCATTTAAGCAGGTGATTTGGTGACCATTTAGTAAACCATTCAACATCTACTAGTTGGTCGGAACTGCCACTAAAACACAATCATTTCCATCGTCGCACGGCCGCCGGCCACACCGAGCTAGAGGGTCGACGGCCATACCTTGCAGGCAACGACCGGGTAAGGAACAGCCGAGGGAGTGGAAACATGGGTTTAAAACGGTTTATCAGGGAGTGGACGTCCATAGTGCACCTGCATTTTACAACTTTGCTTCCCCGAAACCAAATCCAAGTGCAGCTGCTTCACTCTTCTTGCAACTCCCGCGAAAGAATCGACCCGCATTTCGGAAGCTGGGATCATAATGGCGATGGTCAAAGCCAATGCACTCAATAGACTTCTTTTCACTCCGTGGCCGTTTCAACAAATCCAGTTGTCCCATAGATTTCCTCTTCAACGTTGTACTTGTTCCAGGGGCTCATCTGAGTTTGCAGCCCAATTCAGTCGATGAAGACCGGTTTGCGGTTTGCAGACGCACAATGTGCGTGGCAACGAGCAGCGGATGACAAGAAGTTGTCCAAAACGACTGCCCGTTTGCTAAAAGGAGCCGAGCGATTTTGGTGCTTGCCGAGGTGAAGAGTCGGAGTGGTGAAACCCGACGTCGCTCGAAAAAAGACCGGGGTTGAAAGTGTTTTCACATCGATTTGAATGTGGTCCATGTTTTTTTGGTATGGACATCGAACAACCACTTGGAAGACGGATCAGCAGACCGAGACTGAAACGGCGTCATGGTGACGCCCGAAAAAACACGGAAAACACAGCATAGTGGCTTCCGGTCTTGATTGATGTGAGGCAAAAGCATTTTAGTAAAGATTCCGATTTGGATGATTTGGAACTGGGCTTGGCCCTTTATTAGGGGCAGTGCAGGACTATCATGACTCAACATCCTTGCTTTGCACCAGGGGTGAACTGCCCAACGACCAAGGATAGACCACCATGATGACTGTGGCCCTTCAAGATGGCTGGGCCCCACAAATACCAAGAGCTCGGGCTTTGGCTATTTATCCCTATTCAATAGGTAATGCGACTGCTTTGGGGTTTCATCGTGGTGCAACTAGGGCAGCCCACCACTGACAGGTAGGAATGGACCACCCACAGCTGCCCACTGCTCAAGTCTGACAGATTGGGTTCCACAAATGCGAGTGGTGGACTGGTCAAGCCTTTCAAGACATTGAACCCTGGCAAGACATTGAACCCTGGCAAGACATTGAACCGTCAGCTGCAGATTTCAGTGCAGCACACAGGAAAAAAAGTTTGCCTGCGAGCCCGTGAAATGGGCACTCAGAACACAAAACTTGTGCGCAGCTAACGAGGAAGAGAATCCGTCAGCCTAGTCAAACTCACTTGAGCAACTGAGCCAGAACTGCACCGGACATGAAATGCATGTGGGGAAAAAGCAACTACAAGCCTGTGTCTTTGGAGTACCATTTGAGTCAGGTTCTGATCTCCATCTACGGCTTCCCATTTCGCTTAGTTGAGGTCCGCCACGATTTTCGTCCAATTTCATTTCACTTCGGGAAGAAGGATCAAAGGGGGGGGCCCCTTTTGACAGGTTCCCCAGCAGGGCAACCCTATGGAAACAACAAGCTGGAAAGATAGCTTGATATGGGTTGTCTCATGGCCAGCCTTGAAGTAGATGGAGCAGTGTGTCCCCAAATGCAATGTATTGGACATGGAGCTGCGTTCTCCATGCGGGGACCTGCTCGACCTGTGTAAGGGTGTTGTTGGCCATACTAATGACTCCCCCAACCTCCCAGCGCTGCAACAGCAACTTGTCCCGGCCATCCGGTGAAACGGGCGATGGCAGCCTTTGACCCCCCCACGGAGGCGGATCGGTGGGAAGTCTTCTGGCCTTCAGAGTTGATGAATCTAGAAGTTGGGGTGGCTGTGGCGTATCAGCCGGATGCTTGTTTCAGCAAGTCAGGGCAAAGTTTACTGCCTGGTGAACCACACTTTCGGAACCTTGTCGAGTGATTCGCTTTCGGAGGGTTCATGGAAAGTTGCACGGAGAGAGACTTCAACTTGCAGAACCTTCTTCTGAGAAACACCCCCATCTGTTCGACTTCAACTTGCTTCACAAGAAAGTTGGGGGTCATTCGCTGCACTGGATCTGTGTCTGAGAAGAGTTTAGAAGACTCAGGGATTTGACCCGAAAACAGCAACGATTGACAGACACCGAAGGCAAACCCTGAAAGCCACCCAAACTTGGTTTCCTGGTTTGGGTACAATTTACGAAGATGGCACGAGCTGATTGGAGCCTCGTCTAAACATGTGAAGCAAAAAAGCAAACATCCTGTACTTACCCACCACATTACCTTAACTCTAGGAACAGACCTTGACATTCTTGCCGCCTGGATGAATCAGGAGCCTGTGATGGATCCTCACTACAAAGAATATAAAACCGAGTCCATGAGTTCCAAAGTTGCAGACCTCTACCCAGCCCATCTGGTACCCCTTATCCTTAACCTCTCCTTACCCCTTGTGCCCTCCTTGTGCCCCCCATCCTTCGTCCTGGCAGGTCGAGCGTGTCCTCTCAGCGGGTTCAGGAGCTGGCCAAGTCGCTGGATCAGCCAGTGGGCACCGCCATCCTTTTGCCCAAGGCCACAGGGGTCGTCCCGAGCCGAGCTCCGCCCCGGCATGTCGCACGGCCACGGCATGTCGACATGAGGGTCAAAAGGCGGTTTGAGGGTCGGGTTTTCTGGTGAGGCGAACTACTTGAGGTTGTTTTTAAACACTATTTACTGTAATACTTCAGTTTGGACACTTACTGTATATAATTCACCTTTGAAGTCATGCTTCAGCAAGTAAGACTTGGGTTCTGCTGGGGCAGCTTGGCGTCCGACAGCCAAAAGGAACCACGCGAAGGTGTCCAGTTGGTGGGAACACAGCATCTTACAGGGGCTCTGGAAGATCTGGAAGATTTCGTTTGACATCCCTTCCCATCCTGAGCAAGGCAACCCTGATCTGCTCGCTTCGAACGGTTTCTTTTCGATTACCAGTGCTGGTCTCTCTCTCTCTCTCTCCCTCTCTCTCTCTCTCCATCCGGCCTTTTTGGGGCTGGCCGCGGCGGTCCAGAGCTCCGCAATCGGCGCGGTCTGGTCCGCCCTCCCTCTCTCTCCCTGCGGTGGTGAGGCGCTCAACATTGCGGGGCGGAGTTTCTCCTCGGCCAAGATCTTGCGGGAGTTTAAGACCAAGAGCCGTGCACGGCTGGTACAGCTGGAGCTGGGTGTGAGGGGAAGTTGGGTGGTTGATCACGGTGGCCTTTGTTGTCGTCATTCTGCTGAGTGAAACCATGCATGTCAGATCTCCATGAGGTAGAAAAAGATGGCGCTGTTGGAGCCAAGTGACTTGAGCGGAGCAACTTCCAACGTGCCTCCTTTCTCGCTCAACGGTAGGCCCTCCCCTTAAGAAACATCTCAGCACAACTTAGACTTGCTTGACAATCTATCCAACTACATTGTTGGACATTTACATAGACACACCAGGTCAAGGACGGGTTCTTGTCTTCCCACTTGTCTCGGTTTCGTGGCTCGTTTCTCAGGAGCCCGGCCAGGCGCTCTTCGTGGTGAAGTTCGAGAACCTCTCCGAGGCGACCGGCGTCCGACGCCGGACGACCGGCTCCGGCGCGCCGGACGATCGGTGAAAGGGAGGGGGCCATTGGATTGAGGAGTGCCGAGTGCATGATCAGAAGATGCGAAAGAGCTCCATACAGCTTGGGTAACTTCAGATATGCTTTCAACCTTTCCTTGGGATGATGGAACACACCGACTCATCTGTTTTTCGTTCGTGGGTTGAAACCCATCGACCAGACCGAACCGAAACATAGGGGGGATTCCCAGCCATGCTGCGTTCGCCGGATCGGTCCGTCGGTCCGTGGGACGTCGGTCCGAAACTCGTGAGGACGACGGAGGGCATGGATTTTTGGGGTGTTCTACCTACCTGTTGCTTCCTACCTGGTGGCTTTTGCTTTGAGGGTCTGTGGCTTCTGTGGCTTCGCTTCTTGGTTTTTGATGGCTTGAGGTCTTGGTGGTTCGGATTTCGTTGGATCTTGATGGCTAGGTTTTGATAACATCGTTTTGTGTTGGCACTTTGTAGCTTTTTGGTTTGCTCTTGGAGGGCATGACCCCTTGCCACCACAGAAACAATTGCACCCTCCAAAAAGAGGCACGAGGTCCAACTACACTGCTGGGAAGCTTCCTAACATTTTATAGGGAGCATTCTAGCAACACCCTCAACAAAATACTAGTAACAAGAAGCTACGAACGGGGCTCCTGGCATCACTACGAACGGAGCGATCGGACGCAACTACTGTAGGGGCTCCTGGCCGTACTACGAACGGAGCAAGGACGCTACTAGTAACAAAGAAGCATGTTAAAGGTAGCATACTACCAGTTTTCAACAAAACCTTCCACGACTTCGAACCACGACTTCGAACCACGCCGGCCTAAGAAAGGCTTAAAAAACGCTGTTGGTTTGGTTTGGGGGCGACTCACGTGTTTTTTTTTGTGGTTTTTGGGAAGTTCTTTTTTGATATCATTAACCCTTAGAAGTGAATGAAGGGCAATTTTGCTCATCAAATCTTCCCTGCCAGGAGTATGCCGTCATGGCCGCACTGCGGCAGCTGAATTATCTCTGGCAGAAGAGCCAGCTGTGCGTGGGCCAGGAATGTGGGCTGAAAGAGTAGTCTTGAGTTCGGTTGCTGGCCAGATTGTATCCCAATCCCGTTTGTGCTTGAGCCCCACGACATCCTGTGGCTGAGTTTCTGCACCAAACCCTGGTCTAGACTCACCTTGGGTGGATGCGAGGCTACAGCATCCACATCCAAACTGGGATTCCTCCAAATCCTTTTCCAAACTCATCATTACCTTAGATCCTCAAACGCGACGCTCCCTCCTCCTCTCAATTTTGGTTCTTTCCACTGAGCCTGTGACTTCCTGCTCCATGGTCCACTGTTTCCATGCTTCTTGCCAAAGGGGGGTCTTCCATGCTTCTTGCCAAAAAAAGACAGCACCGAAAAACCTGACATGTGTGAACTTCCCACTTCTGACTTGGTCGTGCAGGAGCTGGTGCAGGCGCAGACCTTCGGGATCTTCCCGCTTTCGCCCGGGCTCGGCCTGGTGGAGGCGCGTCGGTGGACGGACTGGTGAGTGAGTCGGATGGAGTCGAGTGGTCGGGCCGTGGTCGGGGTTCGGGGGTTGACATGGGAAGGGGCGATGGGTTCAGACGGGTTCATACCGCCTGCGCAGTTTCTGTTTTCGATTTTTGCGCTGATGAAGTGAGTTTCTTCAAACATTTGTTCGTTTGTTCTTGCTGGGACGGAAGCTCAAGAACGACTCTTTGATGCTCTTTGCAACTGCCGACCTCAAAGAGCGCTTCTCTGACCGGTACCCTCTCTTTGACGACTGAGTATATAGTTGAAGAACTGAAAGCTGCGAAGTGGTTGAGGTGACTGGGAGTTTACCAAACCCTGACCACCCCGCTCGGGACGTGACTTCCCACCTTCCCCTGCAGCTCCACCCGAGGTTGTCTCGGAGAGCCGTACCTTGCGGGAGCTCTCGGAAGGGGTGCCCTTCAACGAACGGCAATGGCGGGTGGTGCGAGCACTGAACCAGGAGAGGGAGGAGGGAGTGTGGCACAAGAGGTGGGAGGGAGGAGTAGAGGTGGGATGTGAGTAGAGGTGGGAGGTGCATTCTGTTTCCATCTGTGGGGTGTGTGGCATGTATTGGCAAGTGAGGGAGGTGTGGGACTGGGACGAGGAGGATTCGTTGGATTTGAATATTCTTCGGCATGTTCATTGCATCGGGATCTGATCGATTGGAACTCCTATGAACGCGGGGCAGGATCTTCCTAAATCCCCCCCTTGTGCTGGCTATTGCAGCCAAAGAGGTCTTCCATCAGTGGAGGGTCGGCCGCAAGGTGCGGCATCAAAAGCTGATTTGGAACACTTAAACCCAAGCTCCAAGCGGGCAACATATTGTTTATGGGGTTTTATACTTTGATGCGTCTCCTTTGGACATTCACCCCTAAAAGAGGGTGTTTTATATGGCAGTCCGCAGTGCCGAGGCCGTGCGGAGAGTGGCCCAGACCCCGACAGCGTAATCCCAAACACTTGAGCGTGTAATGGAATAGGGAGAAAGACCAAAGACCCTCTGGAAGAAGGGAAATAGACGAAATAGAATAGTCTATTCATTGCTTGGAGACCTCCCTATTCCAATACACACCCACGCAGCCGGCGATGGCCGATCTCTGGGGAAGGGGCTTCTCCCCATCTCTCGGCGTCCCGGACGTGGCGCCTCGTCGCGGCACAAAAGCCTCCTGGTTTGAAAACACTGGAGGTGGGTGCCTTGATGGTGAGATTTGGGGATGCATCCACACCCTCTGACCACGATGTGTTCGTGTTTCGCACCTTTCGCTCGTCCGATGGGGTTCCTGCTGTTTTTTTTGGGCCAGGATTCCCAAAAGCTGGACCGCTTGGCAGCAAGCGTTTGCGCCTACTTGACCTCCAGCTATGTCTTAGGTATCTTGGACTGACCCAATTAGCTTCGAAGCAAAACCGCCGCCGCCGGCACGAGCCGCTGCAAAACAGGCAAGATGTTGGATGGCTCTCCGAAACACATAGAACTTGGTCAATCTAAGTGCTTTGGGGCAATTGAACACTGGCAATCTACTGCTGGGAAGGGAAAAGAACAGGAAGAGATCGCACTGTGACAACCAGTGACTGGCTACCACACGTTCGGTAGAAGACTGGAGGACGGAGTTGCTCAAGATCGGGCGTACACTCCCCTAACATGGAAGTGGACAACCACCTGTTTGTTGAGGAAACAGGTCATTCAAACGGCCATTTTCATTTTCTGCTTCCATGTTTCAGGGAGTGTTTGGGCAGTATGTCATGAGTTCTTTTTGAGAGCACTGGGGTGGTGTGGCGCCACAGCTCTACTCTGCAAAGTGCCAGCAACCAGTATGCGAAGGCAAGTCGTTTCAAGAAGCCACTTTTTGCTATGTGATGAAGTGACTAAAGCTTCAGAAACCATTCAAATTTTATCCGGATTGCAACTTCAGGATCCTGATGAGTTCCATATGGTCCCATGACCCTGACTCTCTCTTTATTGTCTGCCAGGTATCCGTGATGGTCACGACGACAATCTGATGCTAAGACCTTTGGCCAGCAGAGATGCCGACGGGCCGACGGTCCCTTTCTGGCCTCAAGCTTGGTCCGTTTCTTTTTTCACCTGGTCCTGCCTATCGTGAGGCCTCTCTGGGCGACACGTGTGAAAAAACGATCATGTGAACTACCAGGAGAAAAAGTCCCAGGAGAACGGAATTGAAAATCCGGCTACATAAATAAGGCCAGGTGACAACCATGCGAAAGACCAGATAATCGCTCGTCTTTCTATCGGAATGTTTGAACACCATCCAATCGCAGAGACCCAGTCGGACCCCTTGCAGTTGGGGCATGTGCATTTTTCGAGAGAAGGCCATTGATAATGATAGTCAATGTAGATTCAGAGGAACTCTAGATAGCTATCAAAAGCACATTGCCACTTACGGCAAGCTGACGACAAGCTCTTTCTTCCATACAGCCGCAATCCTGCTTTTTTCACTCTGCCAGCTTCTCACCCTAGTTTCACTGGCCCTTTTCCTCGATCTCGAATTCTCGACGGTTCCCTTGCCATTTTGGCCCTCCATCCCTCTCCCAGGGCGCGACGGCCGGCTCTTCCGCGTGGACTTCGGCTTCGCGTGGGGGCGCACGCCCGAGATCGACGCGCCGGGGATCTTCGTGCCCAATGCGGTCTACTTGGCCTTGGGAGAGGGACGCTGGCGCCAGGTAGGGGTTCCGGTGGAACACCAGTCTGTAGGTGGAAATGGGATGGGGATGGGTGGGTGGTAGATTGGTGAGGTCAAGGTTGATAAGTTATATATTAATTAGCTCCAGGCAGCAGGGTCAGTTGGTTTTGACCAATTCGCAGCTCAAATGCAAGAGCGTGCTGTGGATAGGCGTGCACCAATTGGATTCCTGCCCGTGTGACAAATTATATCAAAATCCCAAAGGGACTTACTTGTTCAGATTTGTTTATGGGTGCTTCTTCTCTCTCTTTTTTGCAAATGAGGTTTTCAGATTCATTCCTTCCTTGGTGGCAAAAGAAAGTAGAATAATTTAGCAGTAATGCCATTTAGAGGGTGCTGCTGCTACCAGACCTTCTGTCGGTGGGTCTCTTTTTCTCACGTGGCCTCGCCAGACACTGCGTTTCATCCCACCACCTTCACCCACCACACCCACGCCGAAGAAACCGATGCTTTTCCGCCTCATCTACACCAATCTCATCTCCTTTCGTCTCCACCGCAACGCGCGCGCCAGGTGGTGCTGGGTTGCAAAGCCGCCTTGCGCGCAGTGAGCGGCTCACGGGCCGACAAGCCAGCTTGGGAGTGCCTCGGGAAGGCCATCAGATCGCTGGCGAGGATGGAGGATGGGTGAGGACGACTCTTAGGACCACGTGAGAAAGCCGACCCTGAGGGCCGATTTCCATGAGGAGATGGCCTGAGAAAAGTCGCATGTGTCGCGCAAGATGACTGGTTTGTGTTCTTTTTAATTACATTCTTTCTAAGCGATGACCCTTCGCAACCAGGAGAGATTCCCCACTCTTTGCTGAACGTGCGACTCACAAAGGGTTGGGAAGAACTGAGCAGAATAATTGCGCGTGTTCGCCCAATCTTACCTCGCTTGGCATGAACAAACATGGTTGTACAGGGGCAGGTTTTCAGATCTTCTGGAAAGCCAAAAGACATGGAGAACATGCCAAAGACATGTCAAAGACCTGTTTCCCTCAACCAAGGGTATAAAGTTTGGGGGGGACAACATGGGACAACCACAACCCTTGGTTCTTCATGGTTCTTCCACTTACCTTTGGAAAACATCCCCCAACTCGCACACACACCCACGAACACCCACCCCGTCCCTTCTGCCACCCCCTGTCAGGTGCCAGAACTGAAACCGTTGCTTCCGGAGGTGCCGATTCGCCATGGGCTGGGATCCAAACGAGAATTTTCCAGGAGGGCAGTCTGACTTGGTTGGAGGCCATCGCTAGTAGTAACAAGAAGCTAGTAGTAGCTCCTGGCAATTCTACTACTAACCAGAAGCTACTAGGTTGGAGGCCATCGCTAGTAGGTTGATCTGACTTAAACACATGGAATCAATCAGAGTTCCGACCTCGCCGACTTTCAGAGTTCCCGAGTTCACCGTGAGATGGCTTTTCATGTCGTTTTTTGTCTTGCCATTTGAGGGAGGACGGCCACCAAATCGGATTCTTGAAGAAACCTTGAAAACAAGGGCGCTTGGAATGCACGCGAGAACCCTCGCGTGTTGAACGGTGCGAGGGAATCGTCTGAACATCACTATTTCTTACTGTCCATTTCAATGGTCAAAGACCTCGGAGCTGTTGAAGGACCTTTTGGTTTTGAGTGAAGTGTGCTTGTTTCTATTCTTGTGGTGTTGGGGTTGTTGGGCATGGATGGGCATGCGTGAGAAACTTTTGCCAACATCAAGGATTTGGTCAGCATGGTGAGTCACTTTCTCAGGCAATCCCTTCAAACCATCCAACCTGTAGGTGACCAGGATGTCTGGGTTGGCAATGGACAAAATCCATTGGTTAATGATTCATACTGTGTTGAACCGCAACAAAAAACTCGATCATACCAGTCAAACACCACGACGCAGTCGCTCCTCCACTCCTCGCACTCCGTGAGAATCCTAATCCCCCCCAGAGTGGACTTCACGGAGCCCGAACCACGTGAGACGAGGTGCACGAGTATGTCTCGTCCCTGAGCCTTAGCTCCTTTGATCACCAGGCGCAAGTTTGGCGTGGAGCTGTTGGCGGCTTTTCTTGGCTGGCTTCACCTAGATAGGATGAATGGACCCTCCTTAGAATTCACATGAATTCACCTCACCTCTTGGGTCCTTTGGTCGTCCCTGGTCCTCCGAGTCTTCGTGGCTGTGCCATCCAGTCCGCTCCGGAGCCTCCATCTTCGTCCAAAAAGAGGGTTTCAATGTGAGTTCCACAAGGGGGGCTTGAGATTGGATGATACCTTTGCTTCCTAGGTCCTACTGCTCAACATCGTGTTCGTCTCACCCGAAAGCCCTCGATCAATGGGGCCGCCCAATACATGATCTTCGCGAGCATGCTCGTTCCTTTGCTCCTTTGGCTTTTGAGGTTTTGGAGTATCAGCTCAGCAGCAACGTTGGTCTGGCTAATTGAATCCATGTTAACCTCCACTCCTGCTACTTGGAATTCACCACTCCCAACAGGACCTTTTTTATGCGCACATCATGAGACACCCAGTTACACGGGTTTTGAGGTTTTCTTCCTTCACCTGTCAGAAGGAATCGATCGGTGACCGGGAAGGACAGTTAGTAGTGGCGACGGAGACCTACCGTCTTGGTGGACTTGGTCTTCTACAGTAGGTCATTAGGATTCTAAAATCTTAATTCTTTACACCAAATGACATGCTGACTCTTTGCATTCAACATGGGTGCTTTTTTTCTGCATGGGTACTGTGCTCATTCAGCTTGCCGGACTTAACCTTCCAGTGCAGCTTCCACCCAGTGAATGATGTGAAGTGCCGGTTACCTTTTTCGCCACCCATTTCACATTTCACCTACCCATTTTATGTCCTTCCTTTGTTTCGCCACGAGATGTCCAGGTGGAGCGTGCCGCCGATTGGACGCTGCAGCGCGCAGCCAAGAACACGCTTCGAGAGGCCCTAAGGTACGTGACGGCCGAGCAGGAGGTGGGGCTGGCGGGGATCGCAGCAGTTGGGGGGGGAGTTGTAAACAGGAGCTCCTAGCAGCTTCTTGTCACTAGTAGTAAGAATGCTCCTAGTAGTAAGGCCAGGAGCCCCGAACTTAGCTTGGGGATGTGTCCCCCTCTTTACTGAGCAAACTTTGGTATTTCGCTCGAAAACCTTGTCCAAGAACTCTAAGATGCTCAAGGAAGGATGGGCTGACCCAAGATTTGTGGACCTTTTGAGACCCTCAGCCAGTTGTGCTTCAAGTTGTCTGGAAGCACTCCCTTTCTTGTCAGGAAGCAATGGAGCTCCTAGATCTCAGGATCCATTCGTGCCTTACCATCTACAGTAAGCGGATGGCCTTTTCTGAGCATCACGGTTTCCCCGCTCGTGGCCGCCCCATGCTCGCCAGGTGGAAGAGAACACCTGGTACGGCTTCTTGGATCCCTTTGGGCTCCTCACCACCGAGACCACTCCCCCGCGCACGCCCGCCACGCCCGTGACGCCGCTCACGCCCACCGCGCTCCCAGCGCCAGCGCTCTCGCCGCCGACAGCACGCGCGGAACGCATGGAGCGCATCCCGGAGTCCAGGCGCGGGTGGGGTGGGAGGGATCCCAGCTTGGGAGACTAACTGGTCTTCGAGTACTTGTCACACCTCCAATGAAAAAGCAGAAGGGTTGGAATGACAGGGTCCAACGACAACACTGGCTCAAGCCTGAGCCAAGGAAAGCTCGGAGATGGTGAACAAATTGAGAACATGTGTGCATCCAACATGATGAGCCACCGGGGGCGATGGTCTTTTGCTCAGCATGTTGTTACCCACTAATCTTCTTCAACTCGAGACATAGACACAGAACAATAACTGTGCTTCTGTAGAGCAAGAGTCCTCAATCACTTGGAGAAGTCGCCACTTAAGGTGTTGAAGGACCAACTCGCACCTCACGTCACTCGGCCATCCCCCAAACAAGGGTGTCATCCTACGTGTCATCCAATCGCTTCAGATGCTTTGCCGTTCGCGATCTTGCCGATGCCATGGCTGTCGGCGACCGCGGAAGCACACGGCGCTTGTGCCGGGCATTGCGCAAGCTTCGCAGTCGAGAGGAGGGGCTGCAGTTGGTGCAACAGCAGCTGAATGCCCCTCAGTTTGTATATTTCGGAGTATATATGATGATCGCATTTCCAATCAATCATGGCCTTCTTCTTTCCGAGCTGGTTTCGGCCCGCTGAGATGGTTTCTTTTTCTTCGTTCGCCTGAACGTGCAACGTGCCCGGTCCTCGGTCTCTGCACGGGCCCGACGCACCGAGCCGCGGACTGAGCTCTAAGGCCAGACCGAGCGGAGCAGAGACCTGTGGCTTGATCGATGCCTTTGCCCGACAGGGCTGGTTCTATCGGCCCTTAGCCCCTTGGATGGGATGGGTCGAGCATGTGAACCCCTCCAAAAAGCCGCGAGCGTCTCCCTAGCCTGAGGCTCAAGCAGAGAAAAAGAACAACTACAGGTCCAGGTGAGTCTCTACTGAAGGATTCACTTGTCTCACTAGAGTAACTGAGCTACGGTGTCAGTACGTGAGCTTGATACACACCGAACCGCTTCGTGCACTTCTCGATTGGTTCGGTGGGGCGTCCAAAAGCGTCCCATGTTGCGAACCCAACGGAACAGCAGAAGAGTCATAGGCTGGGAGAAGGCCTTCTCAGGCTCCGAATCAGGACAGTAGACGAGTAGATGAAGATCTAATTATTGGGTTCCCCGCATTGAGACAGCTCAGAGATTCTTTTGAGCCCGGTGAGACTTCATCATGAACTTGCCTGACAAAGGAAGGCATCAGGGCCCCAGGGAACCAGAACCATCCTTGTTTGCAAAGAACACCAAAGCAAACACCTCAATTCCAACGCCATTCACTCTTCACCAACAAGGCCTCTTCTCTTGGCACCTCCCCCTTCTTTCAACAGCTCACGCCGTAGCGCTCGCTCGGAGCTCAAACCGAAAGGTTGACTTGGCATCGCAACAGCTTAGCACAGGGACCTCGGCTTCGCCGCCTCACCTGGCAGTGACCTTGCGGGCTTTGGCCACCCTCCACCCGCCAAGTCTGGCGCGCTGGCGGGGTCCGTTAAACGCGCCACCTGTGGGACGTCGCCATGGTTGGTTTGCAGCAGTGGTGCTGCTGAGGAGCTTGTTGTTGGCCGAGGTTGTGATGGATGGATTGCTGGGAAAGGTGCCTGAGCTGCAAGTCGTTGCTTTGTTCCTTCTTCCAAAGAAGGTCGCCGATTCTTGTCTTGAAAAGCTTGGATGAAGAAAATTCGGAACATTTTTGCTCGACGTGCTTCAACAAAACCTTGTGAGTGGGCGGTTTCTGTTCGGCTTCTCGTAGCATGCTTGTAGGTTCTTGCTCTGATTTTCCAGAGCAGGATTCCCCTTGCCTCTGGATGCCTCCACTACCTCCCTTCAGAACATGGAAGTGGATGACCTGGCCCCCCTCGTAGGTCTTCCGCATTGACTTCTGGGTGTTCGGGGCATAGGCCGTGAGGTGTTTTTTCCATGACAGACACGGCCTCTCATCAGGTCTTCTCCTGGACCTCTCAACAGGGATCCTGGACTTCTCAACCGGCGCACCTGCGCAGTTCCGGCGCTTTATGGGGTGCCCTGTGCGATGCTCGGCGGTGTGGAGTGAGTGGCTTTGTCGACCCCATGAAACCGTGCACACTTGGGGCATCTTGCATTCGAAACACACCCGGATGGATATGGGATATGGCTGTTCAACTGTGACCGCCACATGCTTTTCAACCTCCCAACCCAGTCCTCCTTTGCCTCCCATGTCCTGTCCACACGTGGCTTCTCCCGTCCAGGACGTGGCTTGGATCCTCGAACGACGCCCACCGGCCAGCTTGAAGCCTCTGACCGACCGGGAGAAGGCCACATTGGAGTCTTGGTTGGCGTCATGTGGCGAAGCCAGGCATGTGTTGTCGTTTTTTCCGAAGAGAGGGGGCCAACATGTGAGGGCAACTTGTGACAATCCCAGTTCAAGGTAGAAAAACAAAGGAAAAAGAAGGCATGTCATGCCAGCTTTTGTTTTTTTTTTGGCACATGAAGGTGAGAACTGACTGAATCGGTGGGACAGTTGGAGAGATCAATCACTGGAAGTGGCTCAGATACCTGACCATTTCACCTAGGGCTGGGTCCAAACACCCCGTAGTCTCACCTCAGTCTAGTCTCTTCCGCTGCTGGATCTGTTTGTCTCCAACCAAACCTGTGACCCAAAACCCGTGATTGCCGTCCGCGCGTCTTGCACCTCCTGCGCTGCGCGCGCTTTTGGTCGCAGAAAGCAAGCCGCGACTTGCTTCAGGAGTTGGTCCAAAGTTGGCCCGGTGTGGCACAGCCGGTGAGTGGGATCTCCGAAGCCTTGGAACTGCACGTGTACCGCATCCGAAGGTGGTCGGGACGTGGTTTCTGCTGGGACATGGAGCCTCATGGACTTGGGGTGGTTTGTTCACGGAGTGGTTGAATTGGTTGGTTCACCGGGTTCAAAATAATGGAGCCTTGGATACCTGTGGGATTTTCCAAAGATGTACAGTGGCCGGATCTCATGTGCGGGTTAGCTCTGGAGCTAACTCAGTCTGGAATGCAGTCTTGTTGATGGAAGAGTTCTGCTAGAACAAAGGGAATACTCTTCCCAGCCTTGCCGAGCGCCCTCTTGGAGCATGCCACTGTTCGAGAAGTGCTCCAAGGGGCCCATTTCGCCTGGCGCGCCCAAAGCTGCACCAGGCGTTTTCTTTTCTTTTTTTTGAGAGCCTCGCTTTGCCAGGCTTTGCCCCAAACTCTAAATGCAAAAACACACATCTTGTCCACAAGCCCCCCTCTTACTGGAAATATGCAACTTTAAACTCTCCTTTCTGCAAAAGACATCTTATCACCCCTTCCAGCCTGGTGCACCTCAAGCCAAGTGGATCTTCTTTTTCTTTCAGTCCAGACTGCTTGGGGGGGCTTTCCACCCGTACCAGTCGCCGTTCCAGTCGCCGTTCCAGTCCCGCCCAGGTCCGCCGCCTTCCAACGCCTGGGTCGCACAGTGGATGGTCTCCATCGTCCCTCCGGCGCGCGCTCAGGGCATCGGAGGCTTCCGCTGAGTCTTCCGGAGCTGAAGCTGGTGTTGCTCGGATGCGCGACCGGTCGCGACCAGTGCTGAAGCAGTTGAGAGAAAGGAGGGATGGGGGGTTTGTGAGGGAATGTGATGGAATTTGGACATATGCACTCCGCGTGGCGCGTGAGGAAGTTTTCTTTCAAGGGCACTCTTGGCTCCACCGTGAAAAAAAGTTCAGGCAGATTGATCCAGATCCCGTGGCCTAATGAAGATCCTCAATTCATTTTCTCAAAGATCGCTGCTTTCACCCTGCTTTCGCCGGCTCCCCAAGGCTCTTCTGCTTGGACCAGCGCAGCTTCATCTACGATCTTCAGGATGGCCGAAGCACCTTGGCCGCGGGGATGAAGCGGAGACCCGAGCGGCCCCAGGGCGACCAAACACACGTGTCCGAGTTGCACATGCCAGTAGTCTGAGACATAGAACATGCCAATGGACGAAATCAAAGGGGCCTGGCGGCCTTTGTTTGGGAAGAACAAGTGCAGGTTCATCAAGGTCTTGTTCATCCATCGTTCTCACACATCATCAATCGAGGGACCATTGGACTCCCCTTTTTCCCACTACCTGCAGACGGCTGGCTACGGCTGATGAAACGAACAGACTTCAATCTTCAATCTCACAGCATCCGTTCGTTGAAGTGGCAAATCGGAGACTGGACTTCATGGAACAAGAACTAGCTGAAACAGTGCTTAGTCAACAGTGCTTAGAGACACATGGGTTGCCACCGCATGGCGCAGGCCGTTCCGTTGGTCCGTGCGGGGGGTGGCCCAACGGGGTGCGTGTCAGGTTGGTTGAAGCCCTTGACCCTTCTGCACCAGCAGCAGCTGGAGCGATGTGTTCCAGGGCACAAAGCGATGGGGGGAGGAAGACCTAAGGAGACTGATAGATTTTTGGCAGAATTCTGTGATACAGAGGATGGTGAATAGGATTTGGCAGGAAGGATCTGCAGGATGTTTTCTGTTTGCCAAATCACGAAGCTGGATATCCAGTTTCTAGCTTTACACCCAAACTGATCAGCCCTCAACATGTTGGCAAGCCTCCCAATCCACCTGCCTCAACAGGCAGGAGCTCAGCTCTTCAAGCTTGTGCCCTACCGGACCTCACTTTTGAGTCATCAAAGTCTGCTAAAGGAACAAGCAAGCAGTTAGGATAGGATGCGTTGCTTCAGGTTGGTGAACTCTTCCAGGCAGCTAATATAAGTATGTAGAAAAGGTCACTCCAATGGTCTTGCGAGTGAAGATTCAAAGCAACGAACCGCTCCTCTTGCTACATCTATAGGATCAAGAACCTCTGAAAGATGAACACGACTTCATAACTTAGCCAAAATTCTAAAGGTGCTGGAACTCCCAACATTCCAGGCATGTGAACTCCAAGAGATTCATAAGACCCGACCCGGTTTTCCCGATCTCGGGAAGTTTTGCCAGCCAACCCCGACCTTTTTGGGTGCAGAAGGGTCTGGGATGACCGAACTCAGGGTCCGGAGTCGCAAGAGTTTGTTCATCCATTTTTTTGGTTGCTGTAAATCACACGAACATCCAGGTTTTGTAAATCTAGAGTTAATTACTCCAAATCCATGGGTCTTGTTTTTTCACCTTCACTTGATTCGATGTGCGCAGTCCATCCATGCCCAGGCCCTGCTGCTTAAAAAGCATACATACGCTTGAACACACCCGAGAGGCACCGCGCGGTAGCCGGTGCGGGTCCACGCCGCTCGAACCGCGGAGTCAACGCTCGGTCCACGCCTGCCTCGCGCAGGAGACGGCGGGCTGGCGCGTGGAAGTGATCCTGGACTCCGAGTGGCCCGAGCAGCATCTGGAGCAGCATGGCCTGAGCAGTGAGTGAGGGTCCAGCTGGGCGGTGGCCGGTCCGAAGGTTTGGGAAAGAAGCGAAGGTTTGGTTTGGACGGGTGATTCAGGAAGGGTGTTTGGACGCCCAGATGAGTGAGTCTGATTGACTCTGAGTTGGGTGACGAAACATGTGAGTTTTTTTTTGCGCAGTCATGCCTTTGGGGATGATCCAATATTGGGGATGAACATCCAATTTTGGTGGTTCTACACATCTAGAGGTTTCCTCCCAACCTGAAGCGCGGTTCTACACACACGCTGGTCTAAACAGTTGAACAGGGGTTCCACGAGGTGACCAAGGGATGGGTCAGGTGCAGGTCCTGGAAGACTCCATTCATGTGAGGGTTCCAGTTCTTTTTGCAGAGGAAGGTTGAAGAGCCCATGTATATAAGGGATGACATGAGACGTTTTCAGGTGGTGATTGAATCACTTAGACAAGGTCTTTACATTTATATATCAGGTCGAAGCAAATCACAGGCTGTGAAGAGATTGGAATTGGTTGAATTTGGGTTGAACTTCAGAGAAATTGGAGGGATTCGCGACCAACATGCCCGGGGTGAGTGTATGCAGGTTTGATTTGCATCAGATTGCAACCCACTTCTTCAACCTTTTTGGCGATGTTCTCAGCTCTGGCCGAACCGACCCGATGCACAGCCTTGGAGCGCCAAAGCGTCACAGGTCCGAACCTCGGACCCCCGGTGGGTGGACGCTCTTCAGTGATGGTTGCAATCTAAGTCGGGTTATCCCCCACCCGACTTGACCTCAAAGTTGGGATGAGAAGCGTCCATGCAATCGGATAGGAGTCCAGTTCCACAGCAGTTACCGAGGCAAGAGCTCTTGCTTCGAAAGAAGCTTGCCCATGCCTTACAAGCACATGTGCCCCGAAGAAGGAGGCGCAGGCTGCCTTGAGGAGCAGAGGAAAAGGCATGCGGCCCTCTCAGTCGCTGGCAGACCGCCCCCCAAATGGACAGCACTGTGGCAATATTAGGTTATTGGCGGTTATTATTATTGGTAATCAATTATTGCAAGAACAGAAACACCAATATAGCAGAAGACTGGTTCTGTGAGTAATTAGCTGGTGTTTCTGTTGCGCTTGGCATGTAGTGTAGCCTGCCGCAAGCAGAAGTGACTTGGCCCAGTCTGTACCACTTGCCCGGGGCATACATATCCTGCCAGTCCAGCCCTACCTTTACTATACTATGTTGAAGAATATGTTGATCTATGCACTTGGCAAAAACCCACGAACTTCTCATGGCCTGTACTTTGGTGATTAAATCGAGGCTCCGGCTCCTTTCTGGCACAGAAAAGCGAACGCGGCTGAAGTCGGCATTGCTATGCATTGAGGTTTTGGCACATGTTTTTCACAGCAGATGGTGAGATGAACATCACCAAGTTGGCCACCAGTCATTTTATACCTTTGGCTGTGAGCCCCTAGTCCCCTTTACAAAGATACTATTTTCTGGCCAACGGTTGTATTCAGGGTTTCACAGTACACACGTTCACAACATCAAGTGTAGTCTTTGTTATGGCGACAACTCCTTGCAGATAAGGGCTTTGTTTGGCAGAACCCGGGTTGAACTTGATGCGGAGGAGTTCCGTCCAGCAGAGTCTAGCATCTCGGATGCAAGGTTTCGACAGAGGCTTTGTTCGGAGAAGGGCTGTGCGAGTTGGACGAAAGTCATGAAGTTGAAGCAACGCTATAAGCTCTACAAGATCTCAGCATCAACGATGAAGGTGGCGATCTAGCTTTACATTTTGCAACCAAAAACAGCCACTTGAGGGTGGTGAGAGTTGCTGCAGGCCGATGCTGATAAGGATGCAGCAACTTTACACTTTGGTGAACGTGCTTTACACTTAGCTAAAAAAACGGCCACGTGGAGGTGGTGCGACTGCCAGGCTGCAAGGAACACCACCAGAAGGCATCACTCCTGCGAGGACCAGAGGAAGAAGAGCCTTTGACACTCTGTCAGATTTCTTAATCGGAATATTGATGCATGCTTGCTACAATCTAGAGCAGTTCTCCCCTCCCCATGTTTGGGTTTTTTGTGCTGCTGTTTGCTTAGGGGACCTCATGCGAGTTCTGACCATCCTGAACCCAATCGGACGGACTAATCCTTGCATTCCTTACGCGGCGGGGAGGGGACAGGACAGCTGGTCGTCAAGGAGCAAGTGACAGGAGTGTCGGACAGATTTCCATGGCTTACCTGAATGAAGCATAGCTCGGTATTCTGCTGTGCATAGGTGGGTTCAATGATGTAAATGACATGGCATCTCTTTTATACGCATCAAGTAATTTGATCTAATTGGATAGATGATAGAGTATGGAACCGAGGACCTTTCAATGGGTGTTGACTGGGCTCAGACCACAGAATAGACTGTACCAATGGCAATTGGAACGGTTGGAAGGTGTTCTTTGCTGAAATAGCTATCCTGTAGTAGATAGAACGTACTTATTTCTGATGGTTCCAAACATGATGCACCGAAGGACGCCTCTATTTGTATTCATAGTTGTGGCGGTTATCCTTGGTTTGTTTTCGATGTCCAACTGTAGGTTTTTTGGGGAGGTATATATGTGATGCCAAACTTGCCCAGGGCTATGTCTATGGCTTTCTATGTCTAAGTAAGATTGAATAACTAACATCTATTGCGCGCTTAAATTTCCACTATGACTTTTTCAGTGCTAACCTGATTCTATCTCCCCTGGAACACAGGCAGCCGATGAGCAGACCAGTGAGCGGACCAGGCGTGGGTCGACCGTGTGAAGCGTCGAGCGTCGAATAAAACTCCAGCACCCAAAGACCATCGTGTCTTTGGATTCCAGACTCGCAGCTTGCAGGATGCCTTCCAAACCAATGTGATCATCACAATGTATGCAGTCTCAGCTATGTGCGGGATACAGCTTGGGCTTTGGCTTCACCCTAACGATCTCTTGAGGATCTCTCGAGATCCGAGGATTTGATTCGAGGATTCGAGAGTGCGGACCTCTCGGAGTCCCTTCGTTCGAATGCTGAGCCTGCTGGGACTGACAAGTTGGTCTCTGAGATGAGCAAATTATGCACTTAGAACACCATTTGAACACCAGCAGTGAGACCATTTTCATTACTAATTCCATCTAAATCTGGTATCTCTGCAAGTGTGGCTCCATCAAACCAATCTCTTGCACAGGGCCCCCCCTTTCCATAGTCCGACAAGTTTAAACCAGACACTTCGAGCTGCACACAGGCATCAGAGTTGGGATACCTCCACGAGACAATCAGTTCACATGGTGTGAAGAAGAAACAGATCTTGGACCTCAAAACACAAGGGAAAAGAAAGAACGACAGCATTCACAGAACATTCCAGAACTTTAAATCCTAGAGGCCAAGGTCTCAACTTCGATGATGCAGACCGGGGTGACCGGGTGGGCTCTACGAGGCGCTGGGAATCCGCCAGGCACTGCCCCTCTCCGCGCCGCACCCCCCTTGGGCTCCGGTGGTCTGGCTAGATGAGATGCGACTGTGAGGTGCAGCGCGGGCGGCTGGGGGGGTGAGGTGGTCCCACTAAGGTGAGTCGCAGGAAGTCATATTTACCGATGTTCAATGTACATTTAGGAACTAAGAAATGGATGGCCTGCAGCTGTATGCTGGTCTATTCTTCCAACTCTGAAGGAAGTTGTAGATTCTCAACAGGAACATTTGGAAATGCCAACTGCATATCCAGGTTAGTTTTCACTAATCTTGAGGTTTCTGGAATGACTATGAAGTGGCGTTCTGGAAGGTTTCCTGCCAGTTTTCCGCTTACTCTTCCATCCATTGTTAGGCCACTTCTCAGCACCTGCCCGACTGCATCCGTCCAACAGCACACATCTGACAGCACTTCCGTTGTAGATCATCTTCGGTCTTTGACCCTCCCATCCCAAGGATGGCTCGGGCAGAAGCCCTGCAGCCGTTGTTCGTAGATGTCGTTGCGAGGGCAAAAAAACGGATCTGCGTGGGTGGGGAACCCCCCTGTGAGTTTGTGGCGGAGAGCAAGAAATTTAACACCCATCGCTCACTCTGAAACCACATCAACATCAAGGTAGTAGGGACAGTTTCACCCACAACTATGTCAGCTCTGACTCTGAGATTTTTGAATCGTGAAACAATCGTCTTCGGGGATGGGGGCAGATGGTCGCGTGGCGAGGCCCGATGTGCAACAGCTGCAGCCTTGCAGGGGGGGCTGCAGCTGTTGGGCTGATGTTTGCATCAGAAGATACGTAGCAGGTTTACTGCGCACTGATGCCATCTATGCATGGGCGCTGTTGGAACAAAGAGTCTCTTTAGAGAAGATTCATCACCCAGGCTGGCCGATTTGCCTTCACTGGGGTGGTTGAACAGGGGTCAATGGCATATATTCCATACACGGATGGTCTGGGTAAAGAGATTTTCAGACTGTGCAGAGTGGCACTCGCAGGGATGTTAGTGCCGGCATCGATGGGTCAGGCCCAAGGGCTTAAGTCATGATGTCCACCGATCTTTCGCGGAAAAAAAAGGGGATGTCACAAGCTTTAGCCTTCTTGAGAGTCAATTTGGATCAATGAATATCCTCATGGTGATGATGTGATGATGATAACGACCTAGGACCTAGGGCACCTACTTGTAGGTGGGTGAAGCCCATAGCTGGCAACCAGAGGGAGAAAGCAAGATAATATTCCACACCACCAAGACCAAACCGAGGCTATTAAGTTTGTAGACCACCTCATCAGCCGAGAAGATATCACAAGGATTTCCACGCTTCCGCCCTCTTTTGGGGTCGTTCAACAACATATGACATAGAAGAACTGGATCACTTTAGCATCAATCACGCGTCCCATCTCACTCAGAAGTCACACACTGAAACACTCTTCTGCTCATGGCGACTTCTCGTGTGCTGGCCTTGATGGCACAGGTGGGGGTCACGTCTGCACGTTTCATCCCTTCCGTAGGTGACTGTGGCTCATGGAGTCGCAACAAGCTTGCTCAAGCTCCAAGAGGGTCAATGATGGTCCTCTGGACTTGCTCCCCCTTCCGGAAAATCTTCGACGGGCATGGAGCCCCCGACGGGCATGGAGCCCCCGGCGGGCATGGAGCCCCCGGCGGGAAGCAATTGGTGAAGCAGCATCAGTCGCGCTTCTTGTTACTAGTAGCGTTCTTGCTCCTAGTAGTACGGCCAGGAGCCCCTAGTAGCGTTCTTGCTCCTAGTAGCGATTCCCATGCCAGGAGCCCCTAGTAGCGAACATTGCTACTAGTAGCGATGATCAGGAGGAGAAGGAGCACTTAGTGGAGCCCTGTGAAGTGGAGGCGATGGCCGATGCCGCCGATTCTGCGCGGAATCGTGGCCGTTCACCGAAGGAGGTGTGACTCACGAATTGGTGAAGATATAGAAAGAAATGCTGAGCTTTTTGTTGACTTGGAGACTTTTCGCGGACTTGGCATCATTCACGAAACTTGAGGTGTTGGAGGTTGGACGCATCACATTAGACTCATGGAGACATTCAACATCATTCAACACTCGTTTTGCTCCAAACCAGTCATCTCAGCCTGAATCTCAGCATCTAATTGAAATTGCTAAGTCAGTGTGGGTCTAGGCCCCAAATTCCAAAAACCAAGTTGCTTGATATGGCTTTTTCTGACTGCTTCACCTCAGCCATTGTAGCGGCCCTTCCTTTGCACCGCTACTCTCATTGCAGGCACCGGGCAAGCCTTGGCTGGGACGGCTCAGTAGACTAGGAGTGGATCGCCGAAGACTCGCGGGTAGTTGCCTGAGGAAAGGGATGCCCTGGAAGTTGATACAAGCTGTGAGTCTACACAGTTTACACTTGACCTTCACAAGAGTTGTGGGTTCTGAGAAAAGCGGGAGAAGTTTTACATTCGGTTCTGCTGCGGTGGGCGAGAGCTGACATTCAGAGCAATCGTGCTTTGTTTTGTCGACTGACTTGCTGGACATCTACTAGGTGCGGTGTACTTCTTTTTGTAGGCCTGTAACGTCTGCAGATCAATTTGGGTCGGTCTTAGATGAGGCGACAACATTCGTGGCAAAGTCCTGGTAGTCCCAGGCTTTAACATGCATTAAGTAGGTTGAGCTCTGCATAACTCACGGTCTTGGGATTCAGGAGCCAAGGAGTTTTGAACCGTTTTCTACAAATCAATCTATATGCCTATGTCTTGATCCAAGCACCAGAGCTACCCTTTTCCAGGAGCCTTTCTGGTGGCTGGTCTCGTGCTGTTGGCCATTGTGCCGCTGCCAGGCCCGACAAAGCTGGAGGCACCATGCATATGGCCCCGCCCCAGTTGTTTGATTTGGAAGTTCACGACTCAGGACCTCTCCGCAAAGGGTATCACCATTCCTATCCAGCGCAGTACCAACTTGCTTAAGACTGTAACTCATCTGCGAAGGGTCATTGTGGCAACTTTTCATGGTGCCAGAGGGGTCAAGAACACTTTTAAATTGCTAGTCACAGCCCTCTTCTCCGTTTACTCTGGAACTCAGTCAACGGCTTGGGCATGGCAATAAGAACCCCACCTCCTTTCCAGTTCAAGGATCGGCTTAAACCAAAGCACCGAAGGGTTCACCTTTGACCGGAAAAGCCTGTGGGCTGATGACCTTTTTTGAAGAGCACAGTTCTACTCCCCGGATGCCTGTTGGTCAGAGAAACGCCTGAGAGAAACGCCTGATGCCTTCGAAAGAAACACCCAAAAGTCTTCCCCCCCTCATCTACCAGGGGCAGCTGGGGAGTTGGCAGAGCTTGAGCCTGACCGCTGACGGAGTTTTCTAGGGAGCATAAAACTCGTATTATATTATCTTTCATATGTGGTGGATCAAACCATGTACAGTTACACAACCACAAAAATCCGCGCCAAGCCAAGAGGTTGCCCCTGAAAATATTGGGTTCCCAAACCTGGAAACCTTGGAGGATTCCTGAAAAACATCCTGGCCTTTTTCAATGAGAACCCACGCGACCTCACGAGGCGGCCTCCACGATTGGTTGGAAGGCACGACGCAGCGTCCGACGTTTGGGCTTCACCAGCGACCGGATTCATCGGCTGTCATACGTGGTGCCACGAAATTCGGTGGTTTTGGAGCCCCAGTCTGTCTTCACACGGGCTGAGCAGAGCGCTCTGCCAGGTCTGCAAGATCCCAATCTGCGGAGCCTACAAATCGAACTGCATCTGGGCGAGATCTGAATTCTGGAAGACCTGAATTCTGCGGTTCTGTATTTATAGTGACCCCCAAATAGATAGGGAGTGGCACGGTTCCAAAACATTTTTAGTGGGGATCTTATTTAACATCTATTTGGGGGGTCTATATAGACGGTATAAGACGTACTCCCATCCACCCTTCAAATGTCGAATGGTGGATTGTCCGATGGGCTGGTGGCAGCTACGACAGCTATGACAGGAAGGTCGCATCCCTAAACTATGAGGTAAGCAAAAAGTGACACATGATTCGACCTGAACAAGAGTCCCTAATTTATCAAGCCTTTTCTTCTTTGGTGCTTCTTCTGATTGTTTTTCCCTCGTTTTTAGGTGCTCGGGCTTCTCAAGCCGGGCTTCTCAAGTACCTCCTTTCCCTCCGATGAGTCAGAGCGGAACTCCGCATATGACTACCCTACCTAACACTTCAAGAGTCTGCATCCATCTCTATCACGTTTTTGGATGCCTTCTTGATCCCATACTTCTCATAACTATTGCCCTTACGATTGCTCTTACGACATGAGTTCTGTGGTCATGTCCTCCGTCACTCCTCCGAGCTTCGCTCATCACTCCTTGGAGCTTCCGAAAGGCACCGGAGAATCACATGAGTCATGTGGACTTTCCAGCGGACTGGGCCCAAAAAAACAAGCACTTTCCAGCTTATTTAGTTCACGACACGAGATTCTTTTTGCAAATCGGGCACCAGCCTTCCAGCTTCACATCGAAGGTTCCTCGCCTTGGTCATGTCATGAACGTTCAGTGCTCAGTGTCAAGGCCTTCTATAGTATCTTCATGTATCTTTTGCTTCTGTTTAGGTGCCCCCCAGAGTGAATGGATGCGGAAGAGGGGATGAAAACCAATGGCACCGTAAACGTGGTGACCCCAAAAAAAATGTGCCATCCGGATTAACATGACCATCAAAAGCGAGCCAGAAGCTCTCTGTTCGCGCCTGCGCGTCGCACGAACACATGACATGAGCTGTGCCCCCCATTCCACTTGCAAAGAAGAGCCGTGGTGATCAGTGGTGTGTGTATTGATCCAGACCGAACTGAACCGGCGTTCCGCGGGTGAGAAGGAAACGGGAAAGGAACGAGTCGACCATCTGAGGCAAGCAGCTGGTCTGCCGCTGCCCTTCGAACAGAAATCGCACATTAGACTGGGGCGCTCAGCGAGGGAAGCAGCTCGAGGGAAGCGTGGGAGAAGTCAAGCGTGTCGCGAGCGAAGCGTTTGAAAACGACAAGAACACTTGGGAAGGGTGTGAAGTCATGTGAATTCACTGATGTCATGCTTCCAGCGAGGGCGCTTTGATATGAATTCATGATGTTCAGAGGAATAAGAGCTAACTGTTCGATAGCTTGAAGTTCTCCACTGTTGGAGAGTGGCTGAACAACCGTAGATGAGCTCAAGGCGTTCAGCTTTTTTGTAGTTAAGATTGTGCGCCTGTGGAGGGCAATTGGAGATCAAATCTAAGTTTGGTGGTGATTTCAACTATTTAGTGGTGACCGGCATCTTCAAAGGACACATTCTTTGCTGTCATATTTATAGAGGACACCCTTACTTTATTCTTTTAGAAGTCCCACAGCTGATCGTTCATGTCGCCGGTCTACGCCTGAGGACGCTCACAACTGAGCCACTCATCCCAGGATGTTCCCCATACCCACTTGTTCCACAACTACCCACTTGTAGTCATTCTGCAATCCAGTTTTACAGACACATGTTCAACATTTCAAGCAGCCCGCATATGGTCCTCGGGTCCGTTGTGGAGATCCATCCATGACGCCTACCTGCATCAGGCTCTGAAGCTGGTAGCGTCCTTTGCGTGGTGGACGTGGTGGCCTGGACAAATGAGAAGCGGCGTCTACATATGACCGTGAGTGACTGGCAACAGGTATTGTGAACAGGATGGCTTTCCCTTGACTCGGAAGAGCTAGATGGCTGTATCCAGTCTTGCAGGTTTTTGTTTTTTTTGGAAGACCAAATTGAGGGCTTGGTTTTTCCAGGGTGCCTAAAAGCATGCCCGCAAGGGCCTGACGACCTAACACAATGATCACTGAGTCATACCTGCCAGGCCCAAGAAGATGCCCTGGGCGAAAATCCACACATCCTGCGGGTGATTTGAGGGTTCGGGCCTTGCCAGTCGGCCGCCAGTCGGGTACCACCACAAGTACAGCACCAGCCAGTTCGGGTGGTTTACGTTCGACCTTCCATGTCAATAAGCATGTTTTTGGTGCTGGAGAGGTGAACTGAAGCTCTTCGTCCGCAACTTCGTTCCGACCTGGCTTTTTGATGTGGACGGGGCGTCTTCATTTCGATGAACAAGGGAAACGGGCATGGTTTCGGTCGTTCTTTTTGCATCGGCAAAGATCCTCAGGTGCATTGTGCATTGTGCTTGTACTGAACCCCAACACACCAAACCGACGGCGGTCTTACGCCGAGTTGTTTCGAGGCATGGCATGGTGGTTAGACCCCCCCTGAACTACGAAGTCGCTTCTCCTCTGCCTGCGCCTCATCCCCGCAGAGAACCCAAGGCTCAGTCCGTTGGGCGCATCATGGGCATTGCTACGAGCATCAAGGGTGCCACCGTGAACTGCGCGGCTCTGTCTGCAGACCAGATAAGTAGCGACGTCCTCCACCCTGGCCCTAGTAGCGATGACCCTCCACGCTGGCCCTGGCGATGGCCTCCGGTCCACCCCACTAGCGATGGCCTCCAAGCTACTGCGGGTCGGATCTAGGTGCCAGAGGTCCATTTGGCCATAATGTGGGTTACCCTCAATATCTCCCCAACATGGGTTTATTTATGGCCTACATTATGGCTACATTATGGCCAATAAACAATTGGCTTTATCACCCGAAGTCCTCGAAGCTTGCGTGCTGTAACCGACCCGTCGGGGCGCGTTTATATGGACCACCATTTATAAAGGACCTCTTGGCTTCAAGCCGTAATTATCCCCAAAGACACTTCGGCTCGGTCAAGTGCAAACACCGAAGATGAACACGTCTGCAAGGAGCATCAATCGATTGTCTTGCTATTGTGATGCCTATGTCTACTACGAAGACTGAAGATCATCTCCAGAGCAAGTGGGGGAAGGTGATATTGTTCCTGCAGTGCGAGACGACCTCTTGCACGACTCGACAGGCGATGGAAGTCCGGAATGATGATGCATGATGGACAATGATCAAAATCTTTCGTAAGTGTGGCCCTTTGGTCAAAATGGTTTGTTTGCAAAGGACTTCACCTACCAAATGTGGTCCAGGATGAAAAAGACATGAAACAAGATTAGAACCATGCAAAGGACGTTTTACAGAGATCTCTACTCGAGATCTCCCTAGATCTCGGTCAGTTTTGGCTTGATCCGCACAAAGGATGACAGCCTCTCAAAGAGAACACGTCCGTGTTCAACGCCTCGATCAGCCGTTTTAAGTTAACGCGTTCCTTCCAGACGTTTGCCACGCACTCAGGATTACAAGCGCATCGAGCGGGAGGAGAAGCGGCCCGTGACCAAGGAGCTCCCAGTCGGTGGGTGCGGCGACATGACACGGAGAACTGTATGGAAAACGTCCAATAGACGCAAAGGGGGGGTTGGGAGCATGTGTGGGGTGCATGAGCACACAGTGCAACATTCAACAGGACAGCCACGTCTCCTACCCCTACAGGTGAGGTCCACAGTGATGTTTTCCATGGCTTTCCTCGATTTGTTGGCCGAGAATGCACATTAGTGCAATTGCCGGCCCTTTTTTTGGCGGGCCCTTCAGAGGTTCGGGGAGTGCTCAAAAGAAGAATGTGTTTGGGTTGAAGTTGGATCCCCAAGTAATAGAGCCTTTTTGGTCTCCATCAACCATTGACCATCTACCCAACCGCTCTTTACTTGAGGTTTGTTGGGCTCGAAGAGGTCGAACCATTGGCGACCTGTCGAGTCGGATCTCAGTCATAAACAGACAAGTTGCATGGTCTGAATCATTCTGACTCTCTGCTGATCAAGATCGAGTACTCACGACCCGGGCCACCCCTTTTTCCTCGCGGGCGCGGGCGCGCGCGCCCCGAAGTTCGGTGTCATCTCGGTGTCTTCGGGCGAAAGGACAAACTGGACATGCAAAACAGTTTTTTCATGTCCAGTTTGCACTTGCCCAGGTTCTTGAACACGCAATGCCTCAAAAAGGAAAGCGACGATAGCGAAGTGATCAATGGGCACCATGGGTGGTGGTCAATATCGGTGCGGGCGGCACCGGGTGTGCCCGGTGGCACCGGGTGGCACCGGTGTTGAGATCCCAATAATGTAGACTCTAGAATAATTAACCTCCTCATCATGAGCTATCCAGGATAGCAAAAGACCTTGAACGCCCAACTTTTGGCCCCGAAGCCCACTGCGAAGAAGGCGACCGGGACTCCAACGCCGACAGCCGGCGACAGGATGAGAGGCAGCGCTGCGCGGTGACCATCATCGGTGTCTCGTGGCCTCAGTGAGTCGCCATGCGGGCCACGCGGTGGTCAGAGCGGTGGTCGGAGCGGCCAGAAGAGCTGAAAAGCTCGTGGATTCCACCGTGAACACAGCGGTATTTCTGGGATCATTTGGACCTCAGAAGAGGAGTGTTCACCAAGAGGGGTCTTTGGACCTTGCTTCAAACAGTCGTTTGTTTGGATGGATGCTCTGTAGATGAAGGGTACTGGAGGCTGAGAACTCTTCTCCAGTGGATGTCCTATCAATTTCTCCCTTGACTGGTAATTGGTGTGGAATGCGATAGACAGGTTCCATGGAACAATGAAATGAATTCAAACACTGCAGTCGGCAGTGGACCAACCATGGCAGCACAAAACCACCTTCATTGCCAGATTAAGGACCTCAAATGACCCTCGAACTTGAGTTCTTCCGTGGGAAAAGTGGCCAACCATGTCGCCGGGTGCACTTCGCACGTCCAGGTTTTGGTGAACACAGCCTTGGGCATCGGTGCCATGTCATCTTCCATCTCCACGTGTGCGGGCTCCGTCAATGTCCCGGCGAACTGCGCCGCTGGGGCGGTGCATCGAGGAAGTATCGTGGAGAGACGGGACGGAACTGGGGAGCGGACTGATTGGACTGATATTGGGTCCAAAAGAGCCCAGGAATGGCAAGGAATGCCATATAAGTGCACCGCGTACAATGTACTCGCAGCTGGGTAGCTTGATGCTTCAACTATATCCTTGTTCTATTTTCTCCTTGGTGTCTTGGCCTAGGCCGAGACTGCACTCACTCAAGAATGAATGACCATGAGCCAAGATTTCCGAGGTTGTACCATGGTATCCATTTGTCCAGAGTAGGCTTGGATGAAGGGGTTTGACGAAAGAACACAGACCCGAAAACGACAGATTTCACTGCACCCACCTGGGCACAGAAAAGCACGGAAAGTACGGACGTTCCGAAGCTTTCTTGAGCTTCGGCTTGTGGATTTGCGGGTTCAGCCTGAGGCTGCCAACATCAACGCATTCATTGGTGTCTCGGAGCAGCTTCGACGGGCTTCGTGGGGATTGGCTTCCCCACTATAGATCCAACATGTGGATGGATCTATTGATTTGTGTCAACCTTTTATGTTCCAGGGAAGTTTTTTTCGGGTCAGAGGCTGTAGATCTACGGAGAAAAGACCGGAGACACAACATCGGCCGTCTATGGGTGGCTGGGAGACTTGGTGGTTTGCCACTCATCCTTGAATCCGACAAAAGCCTCCCTATTTCCGCTGCTGCTTGTTCTTGCCACTTCTTGCCATGGGGATGAATTATGCAATTTCCGGCCTTTCAGTGACTGCGTGAATCTCTGAAGCTTGTTTACGCAAATGGCCTATGATTCCCTGGAAGATCTGCCTGCTTCAACGCTGAACATTTGTCATGGTTCGTGCAGAGCTCAGCTGTTGAGCCTTGATTTTTCCCGTCTACCAGGTGCGGTTGGGGGGGTTCCTGAAGCAGACAAGTGTCGAACATTATTGCGTGTCTGAGATAGGTGACACTCTTGTGAGCAATGGCGGGACAAAGTTGACAAATTGTTGCCTGAGAATTCCCCCAATTGGACACCAATCTAAACCCTTCAGCAGTCTTCTCACGACTGGTTGAGCAACCATCCAAAACATACCCACATCCATGGTGTTGGTTTGTCGATCGATAGTTGGGCTGAGGCAATGCTTTGGTGCTGGTGGCAACTGCCATGGCGGCGGATTTGTCCTGTCCCGAAGATCCCCTGCCGGACCCTTTCCGCCTGCAGGTCACTGGTGGAAGGGACACATAGATGACATAGACCTAGGTTGAGAACAGATAATAGCGACGGCCTCCAACCTGGTAGTGATGGCCTCCAACCTAATAGCAGCAATAGCAATGGCCGGGGCCAACATGGGCCAATGGCTCCATCACTTGGACGTATTCCAACTTGGGCACCATCACTTTGTCTATGTCGTAAGAAGATGGACGAAGCTAGTTGAAGACCCGATCAGCCCGATCCGCCCGATCCAAGGAATTCCATTATATATATATGGATACGTTTCAGTTCATTGATGAACCAGTCAGCTAGCAGCTGAGCCATTTGTTTTCTACTTCACGCCTTTGAGAGTACCTCTGAGCCCCCCGAGGTTGATGACCAAGACACATCAATGCCTATAGTGTTATACTGTTGACCGGGCATCTCCAACCATCCCTACTACCGCCCTATCGGTTCTGCTACCCTACTACCCAGCTGAATCTCCGCCCACAACGTGCGGTCATGGCTGATTTTTTTCGGATTTTATGAAAAGCACACATCGCATCAGCGGTTTTCATGTGAAACGGAATTCTGTTTAATGCCAACACCAATCGTCTTCCTTCCACGTCTTTCGCGTTTTTGTTTTTTTGGATCTGCACGCCGTCCTTTGCAGGATCGGATCGAAGCAAAAGCCAAGGAGATCGCGCCCTTTGGCATCAGGGGATTTGGTCGCCAGTCAGACTGCCAGTCTATAAGGACATTGCTTTAATCTTTTTCTCCGGAGTCTATTTTTTTAGCACCTGGACGCCGAAGAAAGCGGTCTCTTGCTTATTTCAGGTGACCCACCAAAGGGCGCGGGTTTCATTTACTTTGTCCACTGGAGAGCATGATCTATAACCGCACTCTTGGCTCATACAGCCAAGACTCTTCAATGACCGAGCCAAGAGTCCTGTTTCATTGGGGTCTTTATAATATGCTTTTGGCTGCCGAAACTGTACCCTGTTCTCATCGAGACGGACCACCAACTCCGGAGTAAGAGAGTGGAGGACGCCGTGAGATGCTGAGAACATGCTCCTTCCTGGACGCGCGTGTGCGTGACGGTTGGCACCTGTTCCATGATCTTCAGAAGGGACAGAACTTTCTTACACCTACACCCACCATCTCCTTACACGGTGATTTCTGGACTATTCCGAAGTTTCGTTTCACCTGCATTCTTCCAGGGATGCAAAGGAAGAAGCTGCTCGGGAGGCTTGGACTGGGCCGCAAGCACCTCGCACCCGTCGTTCGTCGTTGGTTTTTTGAACCATGGAGCTCTACGTCAAAGCTGCAGGCATTTGGTCACGTTGATGAAGCTTCTACAGCTGCAGAAGCTTCAATTCTTGCTTCTTTCTTCACACACATATAGGAGCTCCTATTGCATGGAGGCAGCTGGAGTATTCGCCTCCTACAAACAGCCAGTTTTCGCCAGTTTCAAAGGAGGCGAACACTGTTTTTTCGAAGAGAACTTCCACGATGCTCTTGTTTCCGCCCTCCACTGACCGTGTTTCTAAATTGACCGCACGAACGGTTTCTGCTTTTCATGAGCTTCGACTCCACCTGTGGAGGTCAACGACTGGTTGAAGGAGCACGGCCAGGTGGGGATCTTCTGCCTTTTGCTAAGCGAAAGGTGTAAGTGATGGTTTCGATCGTGACAGAAGGTGGTCCCCCCAACTGGCCTCAAACGTTCGAATCGAGGCACCCCTCGCAGCGGATCCGAAGTCTTCTGCGTTCGCACCAATCAGATGAATTGCATTCATCCCAAGCCAAGCAGAGCAGACATCCTGGAAGGAATGGCCATTTGGATCCATTTCTGGGGACCCAATCTGCAGTGATCGGCCAATGGTTTTCAGTTCAGGACTTGGGACAGTTGTCTCTGATGCCTCTTCCGATCGATGGGGGTCTGAACCGGTTCACGCAGGACTACAAGGTGCTGCCACCCAGCCCGGCCGTGCCCAAAGACGTGGTTTACACCAACATCGCAAGAGACTTGTCCTCAAGAGAAGTCACGGAGATGTGTTGGGGGTTATTTGGTGGCTTTTGGTGGCATTGAAGCAATATTTGGGTCGCGCTCCTGCTCCTGATCTTCCACTTTAGGACAGTGGATGGACCAATTTGACCTAAGTCTCCCATTGTGTCAGGACTCACTGGAGAGCCCCAATCCACTTTTTGGTTCCTGAGACGACACATTCAGAGGTCCGGTTCCAAGATGTTCCGAACTGAATGGTGTGGATGGGGCGGAGTAATTGCGCCTTTGAAGTCTTTTGCTGCAGTTTTGATGGTGGTTTTGGCCGACGTTGCAACCTTGCACCCCGAGAATCTGCGCGTTGTTGAACGTCATCGATTATCGATGTATCGACTCGAGCCAGAGGATGATTTGCGGGCATCAACCAGTAAACAGGGCAGTATGCCGAACTTATATAATCTACATGCATGGCTGAGGGCTCTCCACTCTCCAACTATCCGCATAGGCTCCAAAGAGACGCAAACTAGTCGACTTCCTATTCATTCACCTCTCAAGACCAGCAAGGGCATCGCTTTCTTAGCTAGGAGCAAGAGGACGCTACGAAAGGAGGGGCGCTCTTCCTGGCCTGAAGAACCTAATTAGTCACCAAGGGCATTACTTGTAGCATTCTTGCGAACGTCACAAGAAGTTCCTTCACCTCTCAACCCCAAACCGTGGTCGGCGCAACCGGACGGAGGATGCGTTGGCTCCTTAGACCTAGCTGTGACGCGGCTCGGCTGCGGATGGGCTTGGTTGTGTGGTCGGCTGCAGCGCGCTTCCCCAAGTGGTTGCAGATGGTTGCAGGGTTTGGTCGGGAAAGGCATTGAGTTGGAATACTCTCAGCTGAACATGCTTTGGTGGACCTGAACAGTTCCAAGCAATTAAACGCCTCAAACCGCCATCGGGGATTCCACAGCGAACTGCATCCTGCATGCTCACGCAACTGCCGCGATTGAATCGCAACCCAGCGATCCCCACATTTGTTGCTCTTAAGGGTGTCCATCATAGCCTGAAGCATACAGGCACCTGTAACCACCTGCCCTTTGACCTGGAGCACCTCGCGTGTCCTTTCAACCTGCAAACCTACATGTCCCACGCGATTTCATCCCCAGCCACCTGCTTTCAACCTCCCCCCGCAGGTTCTCTTGGGTGGGCTCTAAGAATGCATTTTCTGCAACTGGGAGGTCTCTAACATGTTTGGCCTCGTTCGAAGTCACGCGGCCTCGTTTTCAGCTCTTCTGATGTGTCCTCAGTCTATGGCGCCATCCACACGCCGCGTGCGAGGTGTCACGGCATTGACCCCATGTCACGCGTACGAAGTGAAGGGGCTTCCGACTCGGAACCGAGAAACCACTCTTTTGAGATCAATCCCAAAGATCCTAGCTATCTCGAGCACGGTCGCACCCATCTTCCCCATCTTTGATCGCTCGTTCGTGTCGCTCTTTTGTTCGCGCCACGAAGCTTCGAACGGCGAACGCGCCGAGGTTTGTCATGAAGTCGGCTGTGATCATCGCAGCGCCTGGGACGTGGAAGCGGACTTTGGACCTGGGCCGATTGGTGCGTCGGGACGAAGACGCAAAGACATGATTCATGGCACACTCCTTGCTACTTCGCGGGTCCCTAAACAGAGGCTTGGGGTTTTGAGCGAAAAGCATCCAGCGAATGTGGTCCTGAAAAGACAATGACGGAAGAGGTGCTCTCAGCGGCCTCAGGATCGCTTGAGGATGACAGTGTTCGGTTGCAACCGCAGATCGAATTGATTGTACAGGGCTTAGTGCGTAGAGAATAAAGTGGCATAAAGTGGCACACAGCCAGCAAAATCATCACAGACTCGAGAAGTTTGCCTATGACATTCTTGAAAAGGAGGTACTGTACTTTTCATTCCCGACCGTTTCAAGAAGGGAGTGGAGATTTCCCGACCGTTCGGTGGCGGTCTGAAACGCGAAAAGCGATCTGAAAAAATGAGAGAAAAAGAGAACCGGCCATGATAACTCTAATAGCGATGGCCTCCAACCTGAGAGCGATGGCCTCCACCCTAATTGCAATGGCCTACCACCCTAGTAGCGATGGCCTCCAACCTAGACGCTGATGGGAAGCCGCTGCGGAGTTCCCAAAGGATTATCATGGCTACACTCTCTGGAATGATCGTAGGCCAACGTCAATGGCCCTGCTTGCACGACCAATTTCCTCCTACAAACCGGTGGTAGTCCACTTCCGTGATGATTCTAGGGAGTGTAGAGTTCGTTGTTCAAGTCCGATTTGCTTCCCTAGCCCGAGCAAGCTCGTCCACAGGACAGCACTGTGGACTGTTCTGAAGAGGAGCTCATCGATGAGGACGACAAGCGTGTTTGCCACTGGGTGAGTTCAGTATTCCGTCTCCGCGAACCCCAAGTAGATGGACCCAACTCTTGTGTAGTCACCCGTCTGTTTTAAATAGGGAGACCCCAGGCAACGACCCCCTGGAAGAAGGAGAAAAGAATGAAAAGACCAGCCTACCCCGCCAGGATCAGGAGGTCTTCCTCTTAAAATGCAAACCTCAACTGTTTGTTTCCTGGGTTCGCTAATCTCCAGGGTTTAGCCTTTGGATCTGCATTCGTGTGAAACACTTGCGTCCAGTGTCCAGAGTCTGCATAGTTGGCTGACATTTCTGAAGTCTTTTTGTCCCAGTCTATTTGGGTACTTGAGGGAGAACGGGTTGGACAACTCGGAACCAAAGGCACACTGGGAATTTTTGCTTTGTTAGTCAGTCGTTTGTCTTTTGGAAGTGTAAACCCCAGTCGAGTGATTATGCGGTTTTGGCCTAGACGATAGCTTGGTCTGGTATGACGATAGTTCGATGCTTCTAGGCATCGCCCTCTTTTGCATTGGCTAAAGCAGGATTGCACCTGGACCACTCGCGAAGCCGAGAAGATGGGGCAGTGCTTGAAAATAACTCTATAGTTCTGGCTTTGGTATTACTTGCTACACATTTATTGTGGAATGATTTCGCGGGTACACCAGGTCCGAAGGTTCAAGGAGCACACTCTGAGTTTGGTAGACAAACAAGAGGAGTTTCGGCCGCAAGTAGACAGGACTTCGGCCGCATCTTCTTTTTTTTGGGGGTTTCCCAGTTTCACACTTCCTGGATTGGTGGACTTGGTTTGCCAGTCACATCCCATACACCTTTGGTGGCACCCGGATCGGGTGTTTCCACACGGGATCCGCTCCGCTCCGCTCCAGAACTTCCTCTCTCACATCATCTGGATGCCTTAAAAGAGGACCTTCTTGTTCGCGACTGCTGTCCTTCTTGAGATCCCCAAATCCTGATCCCGACGTCGTCCTCGTGTCGGAGCCGCGTGTCACACGCAAAGAAACCATCGTTAAACCGCGGCAAATGCCGCGGTTTCACCGGTGTCATCGCGGCTTGATCCGAGGCGCAATCAACATCATCGGCTTGATGGGCACGTTGAGCCTGGCCACGCGCTTTTTTTGCCTTGGCCCCGCGGTGTTCGTGGGAACTAGCGGGTGAGTTGTTCGTTGTTCGTATTTATTTTTGGATTGGGTGGGGTTTCGGTGGAAGCTGAAGCTGAAGATGTAGGGGAAGGTGGTTTCGGGGGGAAGCAGAAGCTCGTGGACACTTGGGTGTGACATGGAATGTAGACTCTTTATGCATAACACTCCTCCATTTGGATTGTAACCCCCCTTAATATGGGGTGTTTGTGCTGGCGCCATCAAGATCGGTGCGTGGCTTGTCAGACTGACGGAAGCGAAGGGGAATAAAGGTTGGCCAGATTCTCCGAACACCCTGCACGTATCAGTCTAGATTGACTAGATGCACAAGTTTGCTGGGTCAACACAAAGCACTTCTTTCACCACAAATGAAACTAGCGCCGGTAGACTAATTACAGTATATATCTAGTCTGTCTGTTACATTCTGTTTATTTTTGACATTTTCACCAGAGGTTGACGACGGTTTCGACGATTTCTAAGCTGGATCTGAGAGCATTTAACTTGATTTCCGCTTGTGGACTGAACATCACGGAACCTTTCATTGCTTCACTCATTCTTTGCCAACACCACCGCAACCAAAAGCAGACAGAACTGCCAGAGGTTCGGTGGAGAAGGGGTGCGGTTTTTCTCTACTCACTTGGTGGCACCAAAACCCACACCAAGATAACCCAACTTGGAACTTCAGATGTTTGCTTTTACACAAACCGGATGGTCTTTGGGATGATTTGTTTGACCCCCAACTGGGTGGGGTCATTTGACAAACTGAGGCCTCCAATAGCTGTGTGGCCATTGTGGGAGATTCTACACCCCGAGCGGCCTGTGCAGCGGACATCGCTGGCATCAATGCAGGCGCATGTTAGAGTGCGCGCGCTGCGTCCGACTCAGCATCCTTCGTTTCATCAACTCCTTCGCAAGGTGTTGGCTCAACGGTCTCAACGGGTTTGTTTTGTCCAAAGTCATCTCAGTCTCTCTTGACAGATGTGGGGATCCATTCTTCTATTTTTTTTCACGACGAAGTCGTTGCAAACTCGGACGAGTCATTGATCTTTCTATCCTGGTCTCCTTGGTTCCAAGTGGGTAACAGAAGCGTTCCTCCCTGAACACGTCACCGCATGGGCGAAGTTCATCTCTAGACTCTTGACTCAAGACTGGAGGATTCTTCCACACTCCCAACCCACAGCCGCACCGAAGACCAACATGTGGCTTGATTGAAAAACCCATCCGACCCCCCCAAAAGCACCATCAGGTTTCGGGATGTTTTGGGTGCAAATCCCTCACCCAGTTGCAACACAAACGTTCCGCTCCTGGCCACCCATGCTGCCGGCCACATGGTATGCTCGATCCGTGAGTACCGAGCCACTTGGCTGGAGACTTGCCACGTGTGTGGCCTGGTGGGACACGTGACGGGTACGAGGAAAGTATACGAAAGTAGGGCTGGCTGACCCTCATAGATACCTCTTCAGATCCAGGCACCTTCATTCCTTACTAAGCACCACCATCAGATGTGGGATGAGGAACACGGCGAGGGGTTTATGCAACGAAAAACGGCCACGGCGAACGGCCACATCGACTCAGCCGGTGGTGGTCAATGACTCTTCCAAGATTCCTTGCGCATTTCATCTGACTGGTGCGAGTCGTAGGGAATAAGGGAAGTTTCGCTCCCAATAGAGATTCCGCAATGGATCCAACCACTAACAAATCAATTACTAAATGTATACTTCGCTATTAGGTTGCAGGCCATAGCTACTAGGTTGGAGGCCATCGCTACTACCCTACTTTCGTCGCACAGACGCAATTCATTTCGGATGAGTTCAGCCGGTGGGAGTCGATCACTGGAGCAGAAGCGAAACGATCCGTCTGAATTTTTTCCCCAAACAGTTTGCTGTTGGGGTTCTATCTTAGAAAAATAGAGCTGGCCACACTCACTGGCCGCGCCCCTGAACTCTGTGGCTGGGCTCTGTGGCCCGGCTCGGGCGTGCAGTTCCCAAACAGCTGGAGGCTTTAGAAAAGTATACTTGCATTCGTTTCCACCAACATTGGAATTTTCGGAGTTGACGCCGACGCCGAAAAAATGCAGACGCTGCTTGGGGTCTATGCTGGTATAATTTGTTTGCCATGTAGGAAGTGGGTGATGATAAAACATGATATATAAACGGATAAACGCCGCGTGGCTGAATGTTCCGGACACCTCTAACCGAACCCCTCAGTCCAAGCATACACATCCTGTAGGCGATCCTGTGGCCAATCCTGGCCAATCCCGAGCGCATTCCTCCCGTAGCTGTGGGCCCTTTCTGAGAGCCGAGCCCAGAGGCTCGCTCTGGTAGGTTCCATACAGTTCCTTCGAACCTACTGTCCTTCTGCTGTCATCAAAACAGTCTGCTGTACTTGCTCCATTCGCAACACGTACCAACCCATCACCCTAGGAAGCTTCCACTCACGTGAAAATGGGGCCTTGGTATGCCTTGGTTATCTAGGTGCAGACCATGTTTCGACGTCGAGGTTTCGTTCGTTTCACGTGTCCATCACTGGACCATGCGAGCTTTACGCGCGGGCTTGACCAAGTGAGTGACCCTGAGGCTGACACGGGGGCCGAGCTGCGGGCGTCTTCGTTCTGGTCGATGGCCTGACACGGGAAGCAGACCCAGTGCTTCGATCGCCGGCAGTGCTGCAGTGGTGTCACCGAGATGATGTGGATAGGAGGTTGGATGGGTTCATTTCAGCAGCAAGAGTGCAGCTCTTTGAAGGGTAGACAATTCCACTCGAATCTGGAGTGTTGATAAAGGGGTTTAGATTCTCCTGTAGACTCCTTCGCAGCCAACATCCGAGAGCGGCCAGTTTTGGACCCATGAATCACAGGCGTTCCTGGCGACTCCCGACCTGGCCCCAGGGCCAGTTGGTGCCGACACCGAGCCGTGCAAGATAACCTGGGCTTCCGAGCCCAGGTTCTCGCGCAAGAAGGGGAAGAAAGCTGCGCGCACCTCTGCGTCCCGAGCCAGGGAGGAGTCTGTCATCACCCAGGAGACGTGGTGGGGGAGCTTGTGAGAGCAGATGCGGCGATGTGGTTGTCGATCTTGTTGGGTTGGTGGGGTGAAGATGGCTGAAGGGTTTCTTGCGGAGTTGTTCAGGATTCTTGGGTCTCAGACAGGCGGTGTCTTCATCAAGGATGCCATGCATCAGCACATCGGTGGTCAGTGGGTTCAATATATACTTTTGGATCCATTTAGTATTGACTGTATTCCCAGAGTGAGCCCAGGTATGCACGCAACATTGGCAACAGAACATCTTCTTCATCTTTGGGGTGGGTTTTCATGTGTTCATTTTGTTCCCTCTCGGAGGTCTTTTTCCCACCAACTGTTGAAGATGAACTTGTCTCAGCTGTCAGGAGACGATCAGGATCTTCGCTCCTTGGCTGCACGAAACCCACCGTTCAAGGAGTTTTCGGCGACCGAGGCACCCGAGGACGACGACGGAGGGAGGTGTCGAAAACGCTTGGAGATGGCCGATAGGAGAGACCCGGGAAGCAGACTGGAAGAAACACGTCAGCAAGGCACATGAGGACCTGGGAGCTCCTTTTCAATCTTTTTCCAATTTCGTGCAAGGTCGAGGGTCGGCCGAAAGGAATTGGATGCAATTCGGCTTGCCGCAATTGGATGCAATTGGTCCAAGCAGCTACTGTATATTTAAATAGCAGGTCCTTTACATTATCCAAATCAACCTCAACGCGCGAAACCAGTGCGCCGCGAGGTTTCTGCAGGGTTGGAAACACAGTGCGAAGAGAACAGGGGTTGCTCACGTGCGAGGATGCAAATGAATGCAGAAACCGCCCTGGCAAGCGAAAGTTGATCTTTGTTAATTGTGAGTGTTTGCCCTACGACTTCTACGATCTAGAATTGCTTGACACTGCCTGAGGTGAGATACCTGTATCATTCTCTACTATATCGGACCTGTATCATTGCTCGAGTTGCGAACAAGATTTTGCCATGACACAACGACCACTTGAACGGCGCTTCCGCATGAAGCTGCGTGGTCCTTTTCCGCTGAAACCGCCTGTTGGCCCGGCAGTGCTCTCACAGCAACGAGGTGGGGAATGGGATTTTCCTGGGCTCCTTCCTGGCGCCCTGGCATTTTCTGCCAGTCTTCCTGGATTCGAAGATCGCGGCGGACCCCGCGCTTCCAGGAACTGGTGACCCGGGGGTGGTGGTTTTTGGAGGGAGAACTGCGGGATGGTTTGTCTTCTGAGGAGAAGGTGGGTGAGTAGGTCGATCTGGGTCGCTCCTTCATCTACAGAAAGGAGAATGAGATCGGGGGGTGATCTGTTCGGTGATCTGTCGTTGTTCTGGGTGATCTGTTGGGGTTCCAGTTGCACCTCGCAGAACCATGGAAGCGGTGTAAGGAAGGTGCCAGCGGGGAAGAAAATGAAGCTTGTGGGCAGTGGAGGCAGGAACTTGGACCCTTTCCAGGAACCGAAGCTGAGAGAACTGAGCTTTCCCTCTGGCCTTTTCGTTGAGTTTTTTCTATGATCCGGTCAGTGTGCTCATGAAAGCTGCTATGACCATGCTTTCGAGAGCGACACCTGTGGAGGCTTCAAATCGTGAGACGCGTGGCTTGCTCCCTGAGATTTCTGAAGGTGCGTGGAATATGTTGGGACATGTGCGACACCCGATTCTTCACCCCGAGAGAAACGACGATTCAGCACATTATTCAGACCAGGGTTGTGCCATCCTTTTTGCCAAACTGAATGCCATGCGAGTCATGAAAATATGGTTGATACATTATGATACATTGCCAGGTACTGGACAGGCATTGGCTGGCATATTTTGTGGAGGTGGCAATACCTATGGGGTTCCACCTACGCCTGTCCTCCACCCAACGAGGTGAAACCCAAAGTGGCTGGCATAGTGATTTATGCCTTTTCAACCATCAGCGATGGCCTCCAACCTACTAGCTTTTTGTTCCTAGTAGTAATGCCAGGAGCTACTAGTAGCTTCTTGATCCTAGTAGCGATGCCCTTGTTACTACTAGCTTCTTTGTTTCTAGTAGGCCTCCAACCAATAATCCTCTATATTGGCATATATTGGCTTCCAGGACTCACCCAAGCGACTTTGCCGATCACCACCACTGCCGCTTTGCGCGCACCTAGACATGTGACACTCTCGGACCTGATTCTTTTTGGAGCATGGTGGTCAGCCGAATCAGCTAGGTGGTGGCCAGGTGGCGGTGCCCACGAGGCTGTTTTGTCCGAACTGGGGTGCGCCAGATGTTTAGTGGGTGGCTTGGTCCGAACGACTTGGTCCTCCCAACCGTTGGACGAGACATGGACGAGACAAAAAAAAAAAGCCCTACAAGACAGTAGGGGGAAGAAATGAACGAAGCACATACTCGCACTATCTTTGAATCTTTCATTCAGAAGCAGTTACCTGCCTCAGGATGGGTGCAACTCCGGGCAAATCAAGCAACCAAACCATACAACTCCCACCACTTATCGCTTTTCACCACAAGCTCATTGGCAAAGTCACTACAGTGAAGGAAGTCGAAACAACCGGGACCCCCTTCCTCTTCTGGACGAGGACCTCCCCTCTGGTGGGGAATTGTCCTCCCCTCTCCGCTGCCAGACTCCTGTAGCATTGTTTTATTATTGGTTAATTTTCGAGATATTCACACATGGCCTGCTAGCAGCTAGCAGCTATCCAGGCATAAGCAATGTGTGAATTTCTGAAGCCTCAACAGAGAGGGACCATACACCGACAAAATGTACAGACGTGTATTTCGATTTGTAAATTTTGGAACATTCACGCAAGAACATGTAAGATTGTTTTTGCAAAGAACACATATGGACAAATAACGAACATAATCTGAATGACAAGGAAAACATGTAGCCACAAAGTGGAGCCAGGTTCCTCCTTACCAGAGCTCTCCCTGAAGGAAACGTATACCCTTTCTGCTAATTGCCTTGTTTGCAGCCTGATACAATTCACATGGCTGCTGTTACTTCTATTTGCATGCACCTTTTCGAGAAACAACGGGACAAGACTTGCTACTGTTCATCATTGCAATTCCCTTTTTGTGAAAAAATAAAGGCGAATGCTGATTCCTGTTATTGGCTGCTCATACGTGTTCATCCCACAGAACAGGAACAAAGGATGTTCCCTCCTTTTTCTCGTCACAGCATTCTATCCTTGAAAACTACTCCCATGCAAAAAGAAGAGGCAGACAAAGGTTCAAACAAAGGATTGTGGCTAGCATTTCTTGACAGCTGCAGCTAAGACACCCTTATCACCCACTGCCTCAAAGAAAAATAGAACATAAGAGTCGATGACAATACGTAGGGGTATACGGTATACTATCCCCTCCTACGGACCTCCCCACCCACTTTCAAAATTCCTTCCGTCCGAGGCCATTTTTGCGGGATGGCTGGTAGGCTCCTGTTTGCTGAATCGAGCCTGGGTGGAACACGTGGCGTGGAGCCTGGTCTGGGCTCTGGCCGTGGGCAGGAGAAGACATGAACAGATCGCAGGAATCTCTAGCAGAACGCTGTCGTTGTTTGGTCGTTGTCAATCCTTCGTTTGGTCGTTCGAAGACACGGCGGACCGGATCGTTCCGCTCAGGCAGGAGGCTGACCCTGATCAAAGAGTGAAAGCCATGTAGCTCTTTTGGGGCGGTTTGTGCAGCAGAACCGTGTTTGAGTCGAGGTCTTCTGCTCGCTCTTGGCATTTCGGGATTCTGAAAAAACCAATTGGATCCTTACCTGCTGAGTCTGGTTTGTGTCTTTGTGACCACCTTTCTGAATTGGTGCCTGAAGCCAAGATTTTTTCTACTCGGAGCTGCACATGCTTTCATTGCAGAGCGTTTGGTCCACCATTTCTCGACGTAGAACGTAGCCCATGTATTCTCGGCTCAGCATTCCAAAGATCGCTGGCATTCATCAAATTGTCCTGAGGCCTTGAAGGTTTGAACAATTCTACCTCAGCGTAGGTTGGAGGCCATCCCTACCAGGTTGGAGGCCATCGCTATTGGTTTCCTTTTTGAAAGCTAGTATTTGGACCTTTGGCTGAGGAGCGATGGAAGTCTTCAAGAAAGATCAGCTCATTCTGATGATCACTTTGGGGATGATCCTGTTGAGCATTGCCTCCTCTGCCTTGCCACATCTGACTGGAGGATGGCTGAAAGTGTGAGATTCAAGCCAGAAAAGAAAAGCAGCAACATGCAGCAACTGTCTTGGAACTCATGTGCGGTTCTACGACCGCAAATCAATCTGAAACAGAGGTTTCCGTGCTGCTCAAATTCTTCGTCTCCGCCACCGCAGGAAGCCTGGTGGTTTTCACCCTTTTGAGGTTTGTGCACGGGCTCTTTTTGAACCAGACTGGTCTGATCATTGTTCATCTGCAAGAACAGATGCCACTACACCTGCGGAGCCAGGCTGGGGCAAAGCCACCGGCCGTTTCTGTTGTCTTCATTTTTAGAGCTTCAACTGCAGGGTCGTGAAGGGTTCGTGGAGTGGGTTTCCCTTGCATTTCGGCATCCAGAAAAGTGCGTTAAGGCACCACTTACTTGACCCTCACGTCGATTCGGCCCTCGACATGGGGGACGACTGGCCGCCCCGGCCCAGGGGGGGCGGTTTGGGACCGACCTCGAAGACTTCCCTCTGACCCATTCCAGACAGCTGCAGCGACATCAGACTTCACGCGGCCCCGTCGTCACCGTGTTGGCCTCGCGTCAGGAGTCCTGTTCGAAAGGTCTCTGGGACCGAGTCACCAAGTCCAGACCCATCTAATAGCTTCTTGTTACTAGAAGCAAGATAGCTCCTAGTAGCCATGCCAGGAGCCCCGTTCGTAGCGTCCTTGCTCCTAGTAGTAAGGCCAGGAGCCCCGTTCGTAGCTTTTTGTTACTAAAGACTTGATTCTGAGGGCCTCCCGACATGGTTTTCTCTCGACAGCCCCACTCCCGACATGGAGGTTTATACTCGCGACCTTCACCAACCGTCACGGTTGCCCCCCCTGACTTTGTGCAGACTATACATGTACCTGGGCAACTTGGGGAGCTGCTAAAAGAAGATGAGGAGTGTGTCTATGTGACTTAATCCCCAGTATCTCACCTTTCAACCTCAAAATCAGCACCCAAGGCTCCGCCACGGCTGCCGGGTCCCCATTTCTTTTACACCTGAGATTCCAACACATTGGGACGTTGTCCAAATGTGTCTCTTTCGAGTTTTGTTTCGTCATGGTCTTCAACATGATTGATTCCACTGCTTGGATCAGGTCTTGGTGATCAACAACTGCTTCTACAGTCTGGTTCTCATCTCGTTGGCTTTTGCCTGCGGGCACCTCACCGACCTCGATTGGCGCATCGAAGCCATGGTCTGGTACGGCCACTGGGAGTGGTTTCACCGGGCGGAGCTGAGTTTCGGGCGGAGCCGAGTTTCGGGCGGAGGAGCGGAGGTTCAATTGTGAGTCTTTCCGACAGAAACACAAGTGGTTGATGATCTCATTCATGGGAAGTCATGGGTATTTTCACAGTTTGTCTTCTTAATGTGGAATTTTATTAATCATCCTCTCCACAATGAAGAGGTTTTTCAATTCCCGTGTGTTTCTTTCTTATTTTTAATCACGAGTCTATAATATATTAAGTTTAAGAAGACACACACACACAATGGTCTGGTGGGTCTAACTCCGTTGAAACCTTCGCAACCTCGCAAGACCTGGGGACCGACCGATTCCGCCGGTGAAAAACCCACCGATGCGGAGCCGCCCGGTGGACCCACCGCGTTGAGCGCCGTTGAGCCGGAGAGAAACCCAAGGAACGAGGAGTCCGAGCATCGGCAGGAAGTGAAAGGTACGCGGTGCATCGGCAGACGAGTCGCTGATCGTGAGAGACGAGATCGTCTGACGACTCGGGTTTTGGGGTTGAGACTGGTCTCCGACAGTGGACACGTCGAAATATTCTCACCAGGGGCGAGCGCCCCGATCGGCAAGTATTGAGGCTGTGTTGGGTTGATGCCAAACTAGCTGGGTTGATGTTGGTGTTTTGGTGTAGAGGACAAGTCTGACAGCTGTTTTCTTAGTCCACTGCTCGAGGCTGCCAGATTTTTTTGTGACGCCCATTCTGTTCCTGAGGCCTACCAATGGTGCTTGGACTTTTCATTGCTTTTCCCAATTGGATGGAAGTCTTGGCATCGGTGCCGCAACGTGCCTGCAGACTCTTTGAGCTGAAAGGCAGTATCTTGGCTTGACATGGCCGAGCGGAGCCTTGTGGTAGTTGGCGCCTTAGGGGTATAGTTAGATAAGATACATACCGGGAAGACGTGGCCCCAAGCTAGGTTCAGGATCTCCAATGGCCTTTTTATTTTTGTTTTTTTATAAATCACTTCTTCATCCTCTTCAAGAGAGTTACTGCCCCGACCAGATCCAAAGGCCACTTGTCAGTCACGGCATGGTCATGGCATGCCTGGGAGTGCTACCTGAAGCCGCTCCCACCCTACCTACTAGCAATGGCCTCCAACCTACTAGTGATGGCCACCAACCTAATAGCAATGGCCTCCAACCTACTAGTGATGGCCTCCAACCTACTAGTGATGGCCTCCAGCCTAATAGCAATGGCCTCCAACCTACTAGTGATGGCCTCCAACCTACTAGTGATGGCCTCCAACCTACTAGCGATGGCCTCCAACCTACTAGTGATGGCCTCCAACCTAATAGCAATGGCCTCCAACCTACTAGTGATGGCTTCCAACCCAATAGCAATGGCCAACCTACTAGTGATGGCCTCCAACCTACTAGTGATGGCCTCCAACCTAATAGCAATGGCCTCCAACCTACTAGTGATGGCCTCCAACCCAATAGCAATGGCCTCCAACCTACTAGTGATGGCCTCCAACCTACTAGTGATGGCCTCCAACCTAATAGCAATGGCCTCCAACCTAATAGCGGTCTGCGTTTTCAGATACTGTACTTTTTTTTTCATAGTCTTTTTCCAACCTTTACTTCAGATGATTGGAACCACTGACACCACCAACCAGTTTTCAGCATGTTTGAACATGTTTTTCACTTCCAATGTAGGCGGTGCTGTTGGTGTTTGGTACAACGCTTCGCCACGCTTCGCCAGGTTCTGCCTCCAATGCCGAGTCGGAACTGTCACCTGTGGAGCTCCAACAGGGATTCTTCAGTTCAGTCGCATGGTGATGGTAAAGGCGGCCGATGTTCTTCAAAGAAACACCCATCAGCTGGTGCAGTCGTCACAGCAGGTGGGCCAGGAACTTGTATCTCCCAACTACAGCAAAAGAAAAACCATTCTTCGGTGATGGAAAGAGACAACAGAGATGGATGGGCCACAATGCACCACAGGCCTTGGCTTTTCACGCCAGAAGCCCAAGAAAGCCCAAGAAAGCCCAAGATCTGGAGCTCACACGGATTTCCACATGCGCACGAGGGCAGGTGGACTGATGTCCCACTTAGAAGTCTTGGTGTAGGGCATGGAAAAGCATTTTTGGGATGAAGTCCATCATTCACCAATGGCTAGGGGGCCAACCTTTCAATCCTGACCTTTTTTTTAATCTGAAGCCTGAAGCATTTGGAATTGGGGTGTCTCGAGTAAGTGTGTCCCTCCCATCAGATTGTCGTGGGTGCTTTTGAGGTGGGTTTCTTCGCGTGTGGTTGTGGCTTCTATGGCTTGAGCTACTCTGCTGGTCAGATTTCCACTGACCCCTACATGTGCACCATACTACTGAGCGCGGCGGATATCCTGGGCTATGTGGCATGCTTGAGCTGCTTGGCCCACAGTCTTGCCGATGCGCGGGGTGGCGGTGACGTAGGAAAAGCATGGAGAAAGCTTTTATCTCTCCGATGGTAGCAGGCAGTCTTCTGTTTGTTGTTGTCGTATCTTAGGGTCGGTATCACTTGATTAATCAATTAAGACTTGTCCATCTGAAGAGCAGACCTCAAGCAGATTGAAACAACAGGGGAAAGAAAACGATACTTCCACATCTTCTGCACAACAGGAGAGGGTGGTGTTGGCGCACCGCAGAGCAACTCTAATGTAGGGTATGCCGCTCCCGTTGGAGGTCCTCGAGGTTTACGATCGGTCAATGACTCGCATTGACATGGCCTGGCCCCCCACTCGACCCAGTTCTTCCGACCGGGCTCCAATGATTGGTTTGACTCTCTCGTGGAGGAAACCCACCTGTTTGGTACTCGGAGCTCATCGTCGTACCAAACGGGGCCTGGTGCCATCCACGTTGGCCCATTTTCTCCTGAAAGAGGGAGTCGGACCTTCCCTGGACCTCTCAGACCAAAAGGGTGTGGCCGCCAGTAGGCGGTGCTTGGCTTCCACACGGCTTCTTCACGTCTCGAAAAGACAAAGAAGTGGAACATGCTGGGAATCAACTCTTGCAGCTTCCATGAACTCCATCAATCCTTTAGATGCTGAGGAATTCCTGTAGATTTTCTGGTGGAAAATCCACTTCTGGGACCTAAACTCCACCAAACTCCACCCAGCTCCCCCACTCTGAGGCGCCAATTCCTGGGGTCGCAGCCGGGTCCAGGCGGGTGGCTTCTTCTTGGCGGCGCTTTGTGTCTTGCCGAAGCGTCCGAATTTGGGTCCCGGAGACCTGGTCCACTTGGCCAAAAAGTCGAGACAGCGCGACATGCACGACGGACATTTTTGTAAGAAGCTAGTAGGTGGAGGCCATTGCTATTCGGAGGCCATCACTACTAGTAACAAGAAGCTTATATCCATATATCATATATATATACATACTAAATTATACATATAATATATAGTACAGTGTTTGGTATGCATTTTCTGCACACTTTCTCCGCTCCCAGGTCTCTTCCTTTGCAGCACAGGAGAGCGTGGAAGCTCGTTCGTCATCTCGTTTGCGGTTCTGGGCCGCCTCTGCTTGGATGCGTGCTTCACCTTAGCCGCCCGACCGGGCACGGCGTTTGACGCCCTCCGCGACGCGGTGTGGTCCCGAAGTGATGGGTGTGCTGTCCTTAGGTGTGGATGGGCAAGGTGTTTTTTGGTTTGGAGGAAGATCACACAGAGCAAAAACCTTGTGGTTTGGTCGCAAGCCAATTAGTTGGTCCAAGTTGTCGTTTCCATCTGGAATTGTTGTTTAAAGCCTTTGTAAGCCAATTTGGCTGAAGCAACGAATCGCCCTGCGAAATGACATTTTTTGTTTTTGCCAATGTCTCTTCTCAACTACATAAAAGTATTTGTTGGGCTGCCCTGCAAGATATTGCCTTGCAAAAACGAAGTGACAAGGACATTTCAACTCACTGAAACTGAAACTGTGGTGTTCTTTGTATTTTGTTTGTGACTTTTAAGAGGAGTGCAGCTACATAAACTTCATAGTGAATGCCAAGTAAAAACCACACGATGATCAGAATCTCTTCATTTCATCATGATGTTTGCTGTTCATTTCCATTGTGCACATCTGTTTGTGATGCCATGACTCCCCCAAGATCCTTTTCCACCTACAAACCATGGATGCTCCCTCCCGAACTCCTCGGCCCTCCCGGTGCTCCGTTGGGCGGCCGGATCGCCCGGGTGCGGGTCATATATACCATATATAACCTCGATAGTATAGGAAGAAGCACATCATGTGGAAGAAGGTTCCCTGAACCAGGAAGTGCCTTGTTCTTGAGTTCTATCTTTGGACCCTGAGCATCGGGGCCATACAGTTCGCCGTGAAGGAGTAGAGCGATGCTCCGACAAACATGTCGAGCTCCGGAGCTGGTGCGGGCGATCTATGAAACTGAGGTCTACGTGGGCTTGGTGGAGATCTTCTCCGAGTCAGCTCAGAAGAAGGTCCTCCCAGCCTGCAGCTCGGCGCTACCAAAGATTTTCGGCTGGAAGACCTCGGCCATCATCTTGAAGCACCAGACCACAGCGAACCACCAACCTCACTGCAATTATGGCTTTTTCGAGGATCGTCAAACAGAGGCGCTTCGCCTCTTTCGGAGCGACTGTCCGGTGTTGTGACATAGACTCGCTTGCCAGACCTGCGAACGCGCAAGCCAACTCGGCATGTGTATCAAAAAGAAATTAATTACTGAATCAAAAAAAAAATACATAAGCAAAAGCAAATTAATTAACTAATCAAAAAGCAACTATTTTCCTTTCCCCTCTCTTGTATGCTGGCTCCTTGGTCCACATGGTCGTCCTGGTCCCCTTGGTCCCCTGGTCCCCTTGGTCCCCTGGTCCCCTTGGTCCCTGGTCCCCTGGTCGAAGGGAAGGGAAGGAAGGAAAGAAGGAATCAAGGTAGGAAGTGAGGAAGGCAGGAAGGATGGAAGCAAGGCAGCCAGGAGGCAAGGAAGCACGGACAGAAGAAGGCAGGAAGAAACAACGTAACAAAGGAAGGACCACAAGGAAAATGAAGAATAGAATTAAACAACAATAAGCAAAAGAACCATCAACCATGTTAATGGAGGTGCGTTTCTTTTTGGGATTGTTTTTTGTATTTTTTGATTCTGACTTTGCTGTTTTTTTTGCTTTTGTTGTTTTTCTGCTTCTGCGTTTTTTTGATTTTGTGGCTTTTCTGCTTTTGCTGCTTTTCTGCTTCTGCTGCTTTTTGTGCTTTTGTTGCTTTTCTGCTTTTTGTGCTTTTGTCTTTCTGCTCTTTGCTTTTGTTGCTTTTCTGCTTTGGCAGCTGTTCTCCTTTCTCTTTTTGTTTTTGCTTTTTCCATTTGTTTGCTTTGCAGAGAAGAAACCAAACAAGAAAGCAAGCAAGCAAGCACGAGCTGCTCACCTTTGGATCTGGTGTGCTGCTGGGGGTGGCGCTGCGCCCCCCCAACCCCCCCCCGCGCCACGAAATCTGCACTTCATCTCCGACACCCGCGCCTGCCACGAAATCAATATTTTAAGGTGAACTCCCCGGTGCAAAAACTTCTAACCAACCAAATACGCCTCCTGTGCTAGTTCTTTGCGGTTTCTCTGCTAACTGCACCAAACTATTGTGATAGGTAGGAATTTCTCTCGCACCTACACTATTACAATGTATTTTGCCAGCTACGACAGCTCCCGAATTAGTCTAATCAACTAGCAACTAATATGAAGCCTGCACTATTCTAATGTATTGGGCCAGCTACGACACCTGTGTCTCTGCTAAGGACACGAAATTGCGGTAATTAGCTAGGTACTAATAAGAAACCTGCTCTATCCTAGAGAGCTCGTGGCAGAATATATATTTTTGATTAAGTAATAAGTTTTTAATTGATCCCCTCGAATAGTATTTTTTGATGCAGTAAATAGTTTTTTTGATACTTCACCCAGCCAACTCGCGCTCTGGCCGCTGTTCTGCGTGTGGTAGCTAGCTAAGATGATTCGGATGGGCGTCCAAGATTCTGACCATGCTTCGGATCAAGCCGGGATGGCTGGGCTTCGGTTTCACTCGTTGGACCTACATTCACATGCAACTGCCATTTGATTCACCACCTGATTCACTTCTTCTCCTTTTGGACCTCTAAAAGCATACGTCTGACCCCCCGGTTCCTGATGTCATATGCTGTGCTGCCTCCTTCGTTCCCTGTCCCTAAGGCGAGATCACGGCTCGGCTGGGCGGAGTCGTGGCGCCCTACTGTGGCACCTTGCCCGCCTTCATCAGCTGTCCGATCTTCGGGGCCATCTGCCTGCTGGGCACTTGGGCCACGCTGCAGCAAGGTGATGCTGTCCGTCGAGAGCCCGGCCGGACCGCCTGGGTGGGATGGTCGGGAGTGCTGGGACGGACTTGATCAATGGCACATGTGCAGTTGATCAATGGCCGACTGGTGCAGGGACTGGACTTTGTGGGTTGGAAGCGGGAGATTAGAGGCTGTCAACAAAACTGGCAATGTTGGTACCCTTGCGAATTGGTAAGCTTTGGCGAAGTCCTGGGTGTTAACCTTCTTCAGGTCCAAAAGCAACGAACATGGACGCACCATTGGTGCGACCCTTTCGTTTCTCCTCGCAGTCTCCGCCCGGATCTTCGCCCCATTGAGCTTAGACCGACCACCGAATCTGCACGGGGACCATCCGCGGCATCAGGGGCTGAAGAGCTGGGAGAAGAGCGAGAGCTGGTACTGCACGCATCGGAGCGATGAGAAAGGTCGAAAGTCTGAAAGGTCTGCAAGGTCGCGAAGAAGAGGATTTGGTGCTTTTGGTGCTTGGTGTTTTTAGCAGAAGTGAAGATCGCATCGGATTGTTCGCATGTGAAGTCCTCAATCTGGGAGGCTTCACAGAAGTTTAGCTGTGCGAATGATGCAGATCAATGAATCAATCATCAGATTGTTTGCTGGGCAGACCCCTTGTTTTTAAGGCTTTTGGATTACTTAAAACCCTCAAACACTCCAACCAAACTCTAGAGTCTGTATGCATCAAAACGACATAATTGGACATGCTGTCCGTTGGCGTTCAGCTCACTTGTTGTGTTGAAACCACGATCGATGCGTGCTGCACGCCGAACGCTCGGAGTGCAGCACGTTCGATGCCAAAGGAAAGACTTTCAGACCGTTCCTTCCTTCTGTAAGTTCTTGCACGTTTGCGCCGAGCAGGCAGGCTTTCCGGCCCAGTTCTGTTTTGGGACGTTACTCTCGGCTCTCGAGAGTGGTTTCCGCAAGGAGAGAGTCTGCATGGCGACTCGAGAGTGCTGACTTGCAAAATCTTGAAAGTGAATGTCAACCACTTGGTACTTTAGTCTGACATGATTGGAGGCTCTCTCAATTCCCGCATAGGTTGGGATTAGCAGTTTGATTCCGCACGGACAAGATCGGCCATGAAGAAACAGAGCGGAGAAGATGGAGATTGGAAAAACCAGAAGCGGAGGTGAGATGTGTCCTCAAACGTTCTGTTGCAATGCATATGGTTCCTACTTTTGTTTGGATTATTGTTATACCAGAACTCACCTGCAATTCAACCCTTTCTGGGAAGATGTTGTCATGAATTCATGCCCAGATTGCAGGTATGAGATGGTGGTTAGGCCTGCAGATGGTGCAGGTGATCAACAAACTCCACAGCCCCGCAGCATGGTGCGGTTTTCTGCGGAAATCAATCGGTTCCAGCTGATTTCCGCCAAGCCATGGCTGGATCTTACGCCACAAAGCAGTTGTGACAAAGAAGGAGAAGTTGTGATTCAACCTCTTGAGACACCCAGTGTTCCCTAGTGACAAGCCTCCTCTTTGAGACAAGCAGAGTCAAAGCCTCGGCAGATGCTCCAGTGAGCTACATCCGATAGGGGCTCCAGTCGGGCCGGCGAGAACACCCACCAACCACACGAACTTGTGTCATGTTGGAGGCCATCGCTACTAGGGTGGAGGCCATCGCTATTCGGTTTCTGGGAGAACAGGGGTTGAGAGCCTCCAGTTTGCCGGGTCGTTGACTCATGTTCGGTTTTTCCGGTGTGCATGCTGTGCGACCGGGGCTTGAGGCGTCTACGCGACCGTGGCGCCGGCCATGAACTTGCAGGCCTCCTGTGAAGATGCGCAGCTTGGAGATGGTGCAAGACACTCTTGGACCATCCGAGAAGACATTTCTCTCCACGAAACCCACACGGACACTCGTTTGGTACTTTCACTCTAACTATAGCATGACAAGGCATGGCAAGGTATTTGTCATGCGCCCAGAGTGGTTTTTACTCCGATCCCGCGACCCAAGTGGTTTACCACGATGTTCTTTCATCCCGGTTTCCTTTGGAGAAGCGGGGTGTTCGAACACGCGTTCGATGCAACCAAGTTTGGGTCTCCCCAAACCAGTGCGGGAACCAACGCGCTGAGGTTTGACACCTGGAGCCCGGACGAGTGGCCCATCCACAAGGAGCTTCGGCAGAGTGCCACCAAGCAGGCAGAGTTGGTGCGACAGTGTCGAAGGAATTAGAAAGAGGAGGTCTCCTACTGATTGGAAAACAGATCTTCAATACACTTTGGAAACCAAGGGGAAATCACGGACTCGCGGATCTCTTTGGGGCTGTCATATTTGTCAATATATAGTGGTCTAGAACCCACTGAAATTCCCATCAAGGATGGCCTGTCGCGAAGGGCTTGAGGGTTTAGAGGGATGTAGCTTGGTGGCTGTTGGTGGTGCAAAAGAGGAACTGCACCGTATTGTGAATAGCTGAGTAGCTAGCTTGTGTGGGTTTATATCTATGTGATGTGGACCGAGAGTTGAGGGATTTTCTATTTATCGTAAATTTGATGATAAGAAACAGTTCCTTAAGCCATCTAGGAGTATACATACTGAGTTACTGTACACTGTACATATTATTCAACACATGTTTTTCAGACGAGCGAGGAAGCAGCGATGGCCACATTTGTTAAGAGTGCTTTGCCTGGCACTTCGACCAGTGGCTCAGATTGGCTCAGTGGCTGAATCAAGCACTCCAAAACGGTGAACAAGAACATGTTCCCTGAAATCATCATGGAAGTGGAAAACTCCTTGTTTGTAGATTGTAGAGGAGATGCCTGGCCTTTCCATGATTCTTCCGGGGAGGCCCTTGCTTTCTTTTTCACAACCTCTTGGAGCACCGTTCTCGAATGCAACGGGCCATCTGTCGAGGGTTTGGACTTTTCGTCGGGAACACCTAGAAGACCATTTCAGGAAACCCACCATCTTTCTATCATCTTTTTCCATCAGACTTTGCCCAGCCCGAAATGGGCTTGTTGATTTCGAGATCCTGCCCTTCTTTGCCATTCTCAGAATTGGCCAAGAACGTCCACAATCGATGGCAGAACACGCCCAGCTTCTTGCGAGCATGTTTTGGCAAGACGCGCTCGAAGTTTTTGCGAGGAAATTTCAGTTAGAGGTCTTTGAATGAAGTTTGTGAACCCCCCTTGATGACGGGGGCATTCCTGAGACCAAAGGCAGATTTTACATCTGCCTCCACATGATTCTCTCTCCCCAAAGAAAAACACTTCCAATGAGACACGAGACACGGTGAGCTTCCATGATTCCATGTCGTTGTGCAGCAAAATCTCGCGCTTCGTCTGCATGTTTGCGCAGAATTCCAATGGTACATGCTTTCTACACAGTGCAAGCAGAGTAAACAAGGGTCTAGCCTAGCCAACACAAAGACATACGTCTCAAAAATCCTGACAGAAGAGTCGGAGATTGAAGGTCCATAAGAAGTTCTTTGCACAGTCTTATATAGCAGATCTTTTCAAGCTTGTGGCTTGCAAGCAGTCCAAACTTTCAACCAGCCCAGAAACGGGCTTCCTGTTTGTACATGGTCGTAACTGCTTCCCACACCTCAAAATGACCTTTCACATCTACAGGATTCATCTAAAGGATCACAGATCCTCTATGAATCTCACTGCACTGCAGTCCTTTCGAGCACAACTTGCTTGCCATGGCGATGGCGACAATGGGGCTAAGAGCCAATGCAGAGGAGCTGGCTAGAGATGCACTCCATGCAAACAACATTACGCCATCGATTGTACAGCAGGCAGTGATTACATGGGGTGCTATAGGAAGTGGTGATGGGAAGATCCAGGATGCTCGAAAGCTCTATACATAGCAGGTAGCTGGACCACTGGAAGTCCTAGAAGCTTTTCATCAAGCATTCCACAGTTGATGACTCTTTCTGATTGGAAGAGGGTTGCACCCATTTCGGCCACGCGAGTCAATCACGGGGGGCCCAAAAAGTAATCTTTAACTTTTTTCCAGCATCAACTTCAGGTCCTGGGATCGCTGCACCAAGAAATTCCACCGCACCGGTGCTTCATCCCCCCAGAAACACCGACGATTCCTTTCCGGTTTTGGTTCAGCCAAGCCTCCAAAGGTTTGCCGAAGCAAATATGAAGACTGGAAGACTGGACCCAGACATGCTGTGGGGAGTTGGCGGAATTGAGCAATCCCAAGTCTTTCTGTTGAACTTGCACTCATTCTTGAATGATTGCTTGGGCCTAGATCGCTGGGGTGTGGGGAATTCGGACAGTGGAAATAGCGCGCACTGTGTTCATGGAGGACGATTTGGGGTTTCTGGAGAGATCTCACCCTCAGCCACCACCTCATCCAGCATTTCTTGACGCTGCGGGGCATAGACCCCCAAAACCAATGGCTTGCACAGGGTGTACCATGGTCTTCCACGGTTCAGGTCTCAAAGGGTCTATGGTCATCTGCAGGGGTGAACCCCCGCTTCCTCTGAAAACACTTCGTATCCCTTATGCCCTGAACGGTCGCCAAACTGCACGGACGACAAATGGGGGAACTCGGTCGACACCCAGGACGTCCCACCTACCGCTCATACTGGAAATGCGTCGAAGATTCCAACTTAAAGATGTGCCAGCAAAGACAGATGAATTCTTTGCAGATTAGATGTCCCAACATCTTCTTGTCCTTTCCGCTTCCTGGATCGATTTCAGACACCTTCCTATCAACTCACCGTGAAAAACGTCAAATGGATTTCACACAATCACCTTTGGCGCTCCCGAAATCGCTCCGAATTGCAGCGGCTTTGGCGTCCGAGAGGTGCTGGGCCTCATCCGAATGCGGAGCTCGTCGAGCCGGAAGAAGGTCATGCCCGAAGGTGAAGCCGCCCACCGTTCGTGCGATTTCTCAATCCTTTTTGTTGATGGGGCGGGTGCCCGGTCGATGAACGAAAGGCTCCCGACAACTTTCTGACAAAGACGGAGAAGGGATGCGCACAAAAAAGATTAGACTAATCGGTATAATCGGTGCTTTTGGTTTGGGGTGGTCTATTTTATTGTTGGGGGCACCCCCCTCTTCGAGGGGCTTTGTTCTTGAACAAGACCCAACAAGACCCCGGGACACCGATCCGCTTCTCCTACCAGGGATGTTGGAAGATTCCGCCCGGTTTTGAGACAAATCGCTTCCAACAACTGTGCGGGTTGGGTAATTGGATCGATTGGGCCATCATGCCTGATGCCAAAATACTTAATAGGTATATCCGTTTTATTGAATTGGAAAGACATGGATGGACACGCACCACTCCACCGAGAAGCGAAGGAGAGATTTGCGCTTGGTCCTGCAGCCTCCTAATTGTATGTTGTTGCCGTCAGAACCACAGGGTACGATGCGAATTGGACGATTCGCAAGACCCGGACATTGTGATGAATAGATTTTGGTGCGAAAAGAGGTATGCAAAGACTGGGAGAGCAAGATGTGGCACAAGTGCAAAGGACTTTTTGAGAGCTGAGTTCTCAGTAGATGCCCACAACTAGGGTCGAAGCACATCCCCCACTTAGATTTTTGAGTCTTGACTTCAATTTCGTAGATTTTTGAGTCTTGACTTCAATTTGGTGTTGAACGCAAGTGTGCTTCCGACCGGTCTTGCTGAAGCCTATCAAGCTGCCACCTGGCGCCAGGCGCGGACAGCGTCAAAGGCATGGTGCTGGGGCTCTTCGTCCGAGGACACTCGGAGGTGAACGGGCGATGCTGCGGGTCTTTTTCTGATTATTTATCCTAGACAAAGCAGTTCTTTAGTATTTCGTAGTAGTAGTAGTGGGGGCAGCAGCAGCAGCATCAGCAGCAGCAGCAGCAGGAGGAGGAGGAGGAGGCTGGACGTAGTGCAGAGGTTCTTTGCACCCCTCTGGCGTGCACCTCGCTCTTGCTCTGGGTACTCCAGACTTTCCGCTGCGGATCGAAAGCCAAAGCGCTGATGAGCGCAGAATCAAGATGGGTCGCAGATGCGTGCACGTTGTTTACTTTCCCCCCATAGTCACTTGTGGAGATCATCCATCCAATGCTCTCAAAATATGCGTACCTTTGCCAGAGTGGGTTGGTTTTCTTTTTAAAGGACACCCCTCAAAGAAGCCACGCACACACACACACACATGTCACGGCGCTTGACATCACCAGGGTTGGCTGTACGACATCACGTGGAGATTATATGGAGCCATCCAGGCTTTGGTCTTAAAGGCTTAGACTGCGCGGGGTACCTGCGCGCGACCGTGCGGCCTTAGGAAACCAGGTCGAGCTCACGAAGGCCTCAAAGGACTACCCCTTCGTCACGAAGCTTCTAGCGACCTTCTGTCAGCAGAGCCGGCCGATGTTCCCCTTCACCTCCATGCAGGCCAGTTTACACGGTGTCCGGGTGATGCGCGGGAAAAGACCTAGGGGCCTGTAATGGAATATGGAGACCCACCAACTGCCTGATATCATGTGATATTCCTTTTCCACGAAGGTCAGGTATGCATTGAAGGTCAGTCAGAGCTTCAATACTACACACGTAGAACCAATTGCATTGCCTGATCCTGTTCCGCAAGAGATAGATCATTTTCACCTCAATGCGTACCCAAAGACGCTGGTATAGTTACCGGTCCCCGGCTTCTATCGAATCGCCTGGCGTCTGCCAGACTACCGAATTCGTGCTGCTTCGGCACTTGAGACGTCCCAACCAAGGTGTTTTGGTTAAGATCCCCTTCTTCCAGGGGATCTTACGGGGGTGTCCCTGTTCCACACCTATAGCCTATAGATCCTTTCTTTAAAAGGGTCTGAAGTCTTGGTCTGTTTTGCGAAAACCCGGCTGAGCACCAAGATCTCCTTGTCAAATCCCTCTGCACTGACTGTACGCAACGCGGTCTCGGAGCATGTGGGGTTCACGCAATGGAGGGTAAACCCAGACTGATGCTCCTTGAATACACTGCATCTTCTTTCTTTGTTGGGTGGCTCAATGTCCTTCAAAAAACAGATACTTTGCAACTTCCATTCATGTTTTTCCACCTGGGACGGTGCCAGTCGCGGGGTCGTGTTGTTTTCTTTTCACCGCAGGGTCGTTGGTACGTCGTTCTTCATCGCTCCGTCCAGGTGAACCTGGACAACGAAACGCAGCCGCATACCGATGGGAACAACGTGCTGGCCAGCCAGATCTGGGGCTGTGGGAACTATCGAGGCGGCGATTTGTTGCTTTGGTCGCAAGCCGCAAACGGTCTGTTTTGGGGAGTTCATGCGTGGTTCCTTTTGTGGGGAGCGTTTTTGATGACTTGTTGGTAGATGAGAAGTCCCATAGAGTTTACTCATTGTAATCATTGTTGTTGGGTGTTTCATCGACGGGTCGTTGGATGTTTTGGGGGTCCTTCATTCCTTTTTTCACCGTGCAGCCGAAGATCTGTGTGATAGTCGCACCAAACCACCGGCTTGCAAACTATGAGGGGTAGAGTTGGGCGGACCAGGCCCATACCTCAGTCCAGAAGATTTTTCACAAGCCCAGGCAATAAACAGGGGTGGACCTGTTGCACTCTGCTCCACTTTGCTGGCACAAAGGGCCCCAAACGTGGATGCATGATGATGCATTCAGAGGCTGGTGTTCATCGATGTATCGACTGTGATGAAGCTCACCATCATGCACTGCAAGGGTCTATCCAACAAGCAAGTTTCGCATGACGTTAAGACGTTAAGCCAAGGTTTGTGGAAGATGTGCGTGGAAACAAGCAGGCGTGACCAGCAGCAGGGGATATCAGGGGTGTCCTCGTGTGGAGGGTTCAGTACTCAAGTGTGCGTGCGGGAATCCAACGTCCTTGTATGCATGCAAAGTTAAAATTAGCACGTACTGTAATCTTTTTTCTTTCAGAGTGGTACTGTGGTGCCCATGGACATGCATCCTGTAGAAATACATAGAAATACAATGAAATGCGTAATATCAATCAATGCCACCGTGTGCCTTGCGCGGGAACTGCGTAGACTGCCACTCACCCCTTCGAAAAGCATTGTAGGGGTGTTGGTCGTTTGGGTTGCTAGGGGCGGGGCTTTTGGCGAACCAGTAGAAACAGTATTGGAATTCAACAATCATTGGTGCACATTCAACCACCTGAGATATCGGATTCTTTTCGGGCGAGCTGCGAGCTGCTCATGGTTCTTTGGGATTGCTACATGGCCGTGGGCCTGTGGGTCAAAACGCGGATGCCTGGGTTGACCTACCGACATAACTTGGGAGGCCAAGCTACCCATCCCCACATGCATGTTTCCTAGGTCACTTTGAAGAAGGACGTGGCTGCCGGGTATCCCAAGGGCACCTCCATCAGAGGCGCTTTGGCAGGTCGCCTCAGATGTTTTGTTGTAGTCGTAGTCACAACATGTCCAAACAGATAATGAAAGTGGCTGCCCAGACAGTTTAAACACCGATGGTTTTTCAGTGTAATTTTCTTTCTGCACAGTTTGTGCAAGCGATTTGTTTTGTTTTCTGTGCTGGTGGTTCAAGGGAATGACTTACCACCCATATGCGTCAGCAAACTGATGTTGAACTGGGTTTGGATTCTGTGGACCGGAAGCCTCCCTTTTCTTCAGATGTGAACAACTGAAAGTAGATCAAAACACCAAGATTTTCTTAGGTTTCTTCCAAGGTTTGTTTTGATAACTTCTTTCTGCCACAGCCTGACACTTCTGACTTTTGCATTCAATCTCCCAATTGCAAGCCAACGATCTGCCAATCGGGTGTTGCTTTTTGAATCTTAAACCTCTGCAAAAGAGAGCGGGGTGGAATTGGAAACGCACGAAACGCACGAATACTTGGACCCAAGAATCGTCGTTTGGATTCTCGAAACGCCTTCAGAATCGCTTCTCAGAATCGCTCCATGGGGAGTTTCAGCTCATGGGAGCCATAACTGTGGGGATGAGAGCACAGGAGTCCATCAGGGTCAGGCAGGGCTGGGTTTGGCAGGGGTCAGGTTCAGCCTTTGGATGGCAGGAGTTATATAAATGACATTTGCATATTTGATCAGGGGTTGCTACAGGATTCTTTTGGGAAAACTTTTGGATTCTAGTGGCATTTATCTATGCATCAATGAAGAACACCCCTTTTGAAATTGACCTACCAACAACTTCAATGAGAGTTTGTACATAAGTTCTTAACGTTCCTTTTGCCCAAGACCCAAAGCCTGCCATTCTCACGTCAGGCTTCGATGTGAACGTCAAGAACTGCTTCTATGAGTTCCCAGGCAATCTGATGCCGTCCAAAACGACCTACAGATATGACCATGCATGGACCATATGGACCGGTGGCAATTGGCGTTACATTTTTATTCCCAAGTGTGTTAGCCTCCTTCCCTGCTGGCCACTTTTCACTTCCATAACTGTTGGAGGGAGACTTTCCGCAAGATTTGGCGCCAGGTCAGAAACTTCACTTCACCCGCCCGTTTACTGGCACCCGCTTGACTGTGGTCTACTACACAGTGGCGCGATTCGAGGAAGCCACCCCGTAGCTCGGAGTGGGCGGGATTTGAGATTGGAAGATTTGATTGGATTGCAGGATTTGATTGTTTTATTATGTTTTATTGAGGGTTTTTTTGAGAATCGGCAAGGTGGATGTGATTGATTGGTCGTTTTGACAGGGTACAAGGCGTAGAGGCGGTGGTCCTTCCTTTCAAGAATCTCGCAGAGGCTTTTTGGATGAACGTGACATTTTTTTCTCAGTGTGGGATGGAGACAGGGTCACACGATCAATCAGAAACATGGGTTCCCTAACCTACATCTCTTCTTACATTAGAGTTCGGCTGCGATAGACCCAGAACCGAAACGCAGCGGGTCAAACTCAAGAGGGATTCTCTTGGCTCTCTGCTCAGGAATACTCGCATCGCTCTGGCCGATGCGGGCTTTGCCTTCAGCTTCACCAATGTTGCGATGATGGCCCGGAGCCGACGTCGGGGGTGGGGTCGCAGAAACGGACATCGGATATGCTCAAGAGCTACAGAATCTGAACCTGGAATTGTAGGGAACCCGGCTTGCTGGACATAGTGGATGAGAGTGGGAGACGATTTCTGCGGATGATCTGCGTTGGCCTCCAGGTCCAGCAGACCGCCCGTGGCACCAAGCGCAGACGGCCGGTGCCAAGCACGGCCCCAGAGCCCTCCCATGCGAAGTTGGAGGGTGCGAGAAAGGCCACGTGGGCTCCTTGGCTGTCGCGAGGCGCTCCGTACCAGCGGCGTTCCAGTGGATTCCAGCAGTAAGACGAGGAGTTTTTCGGTGAGACGAGGTGGATGCATGTGGATGCTTTGGGAAGATGGTCCCCTCAAACCTCGTGTCGTTTGGAAGAAGTTGGGGGAGGCTACACCCATAAAGGACATGATTGCTCGGGCCTCCGTTCCTCAGGAGCTCTTGCGGGTGAATTCCAACCAGAGCCTTGTCGTAAAAGGGTAGACACAAACACCTGAAAAACGGCTTGGCCATGCTTGGCCCCTTTTTTTTGAGTGTAGCGCATCCTTCCGTAGATCTTGAAAGACAAGGTCACAAAAACGTCCACCGCGGATTTGAATGGGGTTTGGGAGGCCTCCTGTTTTCTCAAATCTTCGAGATTTGGCATTCCCAAGGAGTAGTGTCATCCCATCATGACGGCAACAGGGAGCAAGCGCAAGAGTTTTTGGAACCATGCACCTTTTCAGTACCATGGATGATTTGCCGGGCACGAAATGATTCATAATTACCAATCCCTGGCTTTGCACTTGTTTTTCGCTTCGCCTCAGGAAGGGTGGCGGAGGGACCAAAGCATTCCGTGAGGGCATGGCGAAGCTTCGAAGAAAGGTGCAAGGGCTAGTTTTGGCTTCAAAAGGTTAGTTTAGGGGTGCGAAGGGGTTAGAAAGGTGGATGTGAGGTGCTTGTACACCATTCTTGCTATGCCTTCGCGTGAATCGATGTCCTCCTGCCGCAAAATCGCCCGAAGCATCACGACAGAAGCGGCGTTCAACTGCACAGCCAGGTGCGCTTGGCATTGGATGATGCTTCCTGTGCAGCGATCGAGGTGATCCTCACTGCCGCGGAGAAACACTTTGAGGCGAAGACACCAGGCCAGTGAATACGAGATGTCAGATCTTGGTGGATGCTTTGCTATTGGGTTGTCAACTGGATGACTTCTGGTCTGTAAAGAAAATGGTTCATAAGGTAGAGGGCATGACCAGAGGCAATCCATATGTCGTTCCGGTGTTAAATTCCTGGAAGGCAGTTGGCGACGCTTTCTGCCGCGGGTGCTGGAGATCTTAGGGGTGCCGAAGGCGGATCAGCAGGAGGCGGAAGGGGTGGCCAACTCGCAGGCCCAAGCCTTAGAGTCTGTCTTTGTGATTGTGATCGTGGTTTGGACTCTGGGCACGATCTATTGGTTATTCTTCAGAGGCCACCCTGCATGTGTGCCCCACTCATTCAGTGGACGTACCGAGTACCACGGCCTGGAGCCCGTGAAGAAGGCGGTGCGGCAGGCCCGCCAGAAGCGGCGCCAGCTGGAGCAAGAAACCAACGAGCGCCTGTAGGAGGCTGGGAAAGCCGGAGAGCTTCCGGGTCTTTAGGCACCGCATACCTAGAATCTGAGTGACCTTTGTTTCGGACTGGACCACCAAACACTCAACATATGGCTCTTTTCCAGCAACTTAAAGGTGAATTGGACCCTGGACCCTAGGTATAATATGTATCTGTATATGCCACACACACAGATATATATATATATAATCACTATGGTTGACTAAGGAAGGCCGTTGGATCATCGGGGTACTGCGATCCCTGTTGGTTGGTCGTTCGCATAGAGCGACTTGTTTTTTACAAGGTGTCCTCCGCATACAGTTGGTGATTTGGTTGAGTACCTCAAGACCGTCGCCACAACACTGGAGAGGACTTGCGAAAAGTTCGAGGCCGACCGTACTGCTGGTTACGTGACTGAAGACGGGGAGCCGATCCCTGTTGCCCGTGAAAAAGTTTTAGCCCGTCGAGCAGGAGGAGACTCATTTGAAAGGGGGCATTCATTGCGGAGAGAAGGACCAGCAAGCATCTTCGACGAGGAGGGCATCTTCGGACACCGTCCCGGTAAAGAAAGAGCGAGAGGCAGATTCGGGGAAAGAACCCCTGGTGGACGCGAAGGAGAAGAAGCCAGGAAGGCGTGAGAGGTCCAGGAGACGCAGGAGGTCAAAGAGCAATACAAAGCGATCCAGGTCAAGACATCGTTCAAAGCGTAAGGAGAAGAAGGACAAGTCGGGACTCCAGACCCTGAATCCAGTGGCATCGAGAAGACACCGGAGGAGAAGCCCAGGCCTTCAGGGTAGAAGAGCAGGAGGAGCAGCCAGAGGAAGAACTGGTTCAAACAGAAGAGGAGGAGCAAGACGACGCGGACACAGGGAACAGGCTTGAACTCAAGCGTGCAGCCAAGCCATCGGCCCGCAAGCCGTTGCCTCGCCGACCGCGCTCGCCATCCTATTCGCCTCCAGGCTACCGTGATCGAGAGGATCAGAAGCCCAAGAAGTGGAAGGGACTCAAGCACGTCATTCGAGGACAACTTTATTACAACAGTGGGCCACCGAGAAGAAAGGGGCAAGGAAAGGGAAAAGGTAAGAGATGGCACCGAAAATGATCAGGAGGCCAGCAGCAGCGCCCAGGCGGGGGCTTTGAGGAGGAAGACGGGGTTTGGGGAGAGACCCCTGCCCTGAGAGAGGACTTGAATGTGGGGACCTCATTTACGGCGAGGAGAGCAGTTACTTTGGGACGGCATGCCAGTTCTCTGAAAAGGTTATGGAGGAGTGGAAGGACCTTGCAGGGAAGTACTACATGGTGAAGCTCTTCGGGACAGATTTGGAGGCTTTGCTGACTTGGGCGAGCGGGACCACCGGTTACGCTCGGGTTCATATCTGCACACCCGATTGCGGACAAGACTCCGAAGGTCCCGGATCCACTCCTACATTGCAAGAAGCATCGGGGCATCCGAACCCTGGAAGAGATTCGAGACCTCCCCAAATGCTGAGTCGAAAGGTTTCTGGACCGATGAGCAGGGAACTTCATACACTGTGCATGGTGGGAGATTTGATGTTACGTGGCCAGCTTCCGGAGGCCATGGACACCCTAACCCAGAGGGTGAAGTCTTTGGAAGCCCAGATCAGTGGCCTTGCATGGACAGCGGCCCAGCGCCTGGAACTCCTCCCAAGCGACACGGCAACGTTATCTTCGAGGCAGGAGTTGAAGATAGCGACAACCGAGCAGCGGGCCGAAGCCCAGGCGCATCAAAGCGGTGCATGGTGGAGCAAAGGAACAGGCAAGGAAGGGAGCAAAGGCGAAAGGACAGAGAAAGGAAAAGGCAAGGTAAAGAAGGGGAAGGAGAAGCCGAAAAAGGATTGAGGCCTACGTTCAATTTGCTGGTGACCCCTGAGGGTCAACATCCTGAGTTTGCGGGGCATTTAACCCTGTGGAAGCCAGGACGAGCCAGGCATACAGCAGTACAGTTGGAACGGGGGTGGAGATCCCTGTGAGGAGTGGAGATGGTCGGGGCGAAAGCCCTGGGTATGATGATGACAAGTGTATGACGACTGGTGGCGCTATTTTCAAGGAGCTGACGCCAATCGCAACAAGGCCTGGATGGCCATACGGGGGCACCACGAACAGTGCAGATTGTGGTACGGCACGATGGTCCCTGAAAAGAGACCGGGTGGATGAACCATTCCCACCTCCTGCTCCGATCGTTTTTCCCTTACGGACGTCGGACGGCTCGGCACCGAACAAGGCTGTGATCGAGCTGAAGATGCCCCTGGTACAGTCGGGGTCCATCCCCGCGGACCTTGGAGGTTCGAAAAAAGGAGTCTGTGGCATGCGATTACAGGAAATGGGAAGTATTCTGGGCGAAAGTTTACGGGAGGTTATGTTGCTCTGCAGCCAGCCCACGGGAGGGGAGAGTAGAGTAGGAGTGCATTTGAAGCAAACTGACACCTTTCCTCTTCCAACCCTCCGTGAACTTCTTTTGCCCTTATTGTCAGAGGAGCATGCGTGGACCGTTGATTGGTTGAGAGGGATTTGCGTTGCATTGAATTCATTTTGGGGGTGCCCAGATCCAACACTTCAGGAACAACATCGTGCAGACGATCGGCCAGCAGTTTCCAAGATGCAGGCCCGAATCCTTCGGGGGCTGACAAACGATGTGGCTAGGCTGAAGGAGGTACAGGAGGTTACGGAGTCATTCGATTGGGGTGAATTTCTTTCGAACACGTACTATCGATTACAAGGGAGACGAGGTGAAGACAGCGTTAGGGTTCTGTTGGAAGAACATTGAGCCGGCCCTACCAAAGGAGATAGGTGTGGCTAGGTTAGTGGACATCTGCGATCAGGGGTGCAGGCACTACATCGAGAATTTCCCCGCCTACCTCAAAGCACCAAGTGAATGGGGGCCCCTTAGGAAATCTCGGGTCATGGTCAGGGACGAGGACAGGTTTGACGTGGCTCATGGATTGTTGGGTGCGGGGATCTTTGGAGTAGTCCCTGAGTCAGAAGTATTCAAAGTCGGCACTAATTTGTTGCTCAATGGACTCTTCGGGGTTGAGAAAAGCAAAGAGTCACAAGGGGTGCCCATATACCGCCTGATTATGAATCTGATGCCGCTCAATGACCTCTGCCAGGGGCTGGCAGGGGACATACCAACACTCCCGCACTGGTTTGGTATGGGAATGTCACCTTTCCACATTGAAGCGCGCGAAAACTTAGTCGTTTCAAGCGAGGACTTGCGGTGTTTCTTCTACACCCTGGCTCTGCCCCCTTGCTGGTTCCCCTTTCTGTGCTTCAACAAGCCCTTGCCGGACAGCCCCCTCCAGAGCTGCTCAAAAGTACTTCCTATGGGATTCCTTAACAGTGTTGAAATCGCTCAGCACGTTCACCGTGCCCTGGTATTACGATCGCAGCAACACAATCACTCACGCGAGATCCCTAAAGACAAGGTATTACCAGCCGGGCCCACGGTGTGGCGCGTTTATCTGGGCAACTATGACCTCCTGGAGAAGTACCCACGGGAAACGTTGCTGGAGGAAGCGGGGGATTCAGCCCCTGAGGTTGAGGCCTTGAGAAAGGAGTACCTGGAATGGGGACTTCCTCGCCCGTTAGCCGACAGGTTATGGTGGAGGTCCAGGGTGCGGTGGTGGATGGCCGACGGGGGTTGGCATACCCTCACAGCCAAAAACTCTCCAAATACGTCACCATCGCGCACCAGCTAATGCAGGAGACCTATGCAACACAACGCCAAATGCAAGTGGTGTGTGGAGGCTTGGTGTATTTTTCAACCTTTAGACGACAGCTTCTCGGAGGGTTGAACCTCTGTTGGAACTACATTGAGTCCTTCAACGTACGAGGACGGCATCGACTGCCCATCCCAAAGGGTGTGAAGCTTGAGATCTATCGTTTCCTTTGCCTTATCCCACTATGTCGAATGAACTTCCGCCTTGAGATGAACTCCACCGTCACTTGTAGCGATGCCTCACAACATGGAGGAGGAGTATGTGCAGCCACAGGCCTGACCAGATTTGGAGAGCAAGTCGCTAGTGGAAGTTCGACGGGAGAGATGCAAAGTCACCGAGGAGGACGTATCTTGAGCATCGGCCTATTTGATGTCATTGGGTGTCTGCGCATGGCCCTGGACCTCTTGGGTTGCGATGTGGTGGGGCACATTTCCATTGAGAAGGGCCCTTGAGCACGGCGCGTAATGGAGCACCACTTTCCAGGAACTGTGCACTACCCTGACATTGTTGAGGTGAAGGAGAAAGACGTGGTGAGTTGGTCGCTGATGTACGGGCAGGTTATTCTTGGGGCAGGAGCACTACGGGATGAGAGATCTGGCTTGTTCACGCATGTGAAGCGCTTGCAGATGCTAGTGCAATATCACTTCCCGTGGGCACAAGTACATACCCTGATGGAAAGTGTTGCTTCCATGGACGAGGTTGACAAAGACATCATGTCCCAATCTTTCGGGGATTGGCCCTGGTCATGCGACGCTGGGACACGCGCACGGACGTGAGCTGTCCTTGTTCGGGGACCAGCCCTGGGAAGACGGCGTCGAAGCGGGGTGGAGCAAGGTTGATCCCTGTCAGTCTTTCCCAACGTTCACCACTTCGCGACCACGAGCCACACGCGGCCACAGGCAAGCAGGGCTACAGGCCTGTGACGATGATACTATTCGTCGGTGGGGGTCGGATTCCCGCCATACCAGTATCTTCCCCGTCACTGCTTAACCAACCGGAAGCTGGAATGTCGGATCCCAAACGTCGCGGAGAGAGAGTACGTGATGGGGCTCCCAGTGGGCTATACACAAATGTGCATGACCAAGAACCAGCGCAAGTCTATTGAATACAACGACAAGCGCCTGAGCCTCATCGGGAATGGGTGGTCGGTTCCTGTAGTGGCATGGTTTCTGGGCCAGCTAGTTGGTACACGGGGCCTGGGCCCTCGATTGACTCCAAAGGAAGTGATGACTCGCTTGAAGCTGGAAGGGAACCCTTGCATCCAATCCAGATTGATG